CCGTAAGCAAAAAACGATTTTATAATGGCCCCACTCATGAGTTCAAATTTTTCGCACGTTTTATTTGCATTTATCTGATATCTGTAAACATTTTCAATATTTACAAATTTTGAGTTTTGTATAAAGTGTACAAAGTCCTTTGTTCATTTTTCTAGTTTTTAAGTTGTAGTAAAAGTTTCTTTGATGACTAAATTTATTGGGACATAAATGGGCTCGAACATTGTTATCGTTTGTAGTAAACTTATGATGTATTTTAACCAAAAAAACATGCAATTGTTCAATACAAAAACCATATAAACGATATACATAAACATCAAAACGAAATAAGCATTGTACAAAAACCTAAAATGAGCAGAAATTTAACAAAAAACAAAATGTTATCGAATCGAAAATGTTCACCATTTAGCCCAAAATAACTCATTTCATATTATTTGTTAAAACTTTTCCGTTTCCTTATGTCAGACAAGAGGCGCATATTTCGTATAATCTTTTGTTTATGGATTTCGATTAAGTTTTCCTTTTAGTTCATCTCATGACTGTGTATTATGTAAGCGTGGCGGGAAAAATCGATTTTTGTCTATCGTGCCAATCGAAATCCGTTACACTCGTTCTAGGCCCAACCGGTTGATCCCGATCTCACCGCCAAGCTGCTGGGCCGCGGCGTGGCCGTATCACCGATCGTTACGGTCGAGCCGCGGCGCCGCAAGTTCCACAAGGCCATCACCCTCAGCATGCCCGCCCCCAAGGCGCACAGCCAGGGGATGATCAATCAATACTCGGGCAACACCCCCACCCTGCGCCTGCTCTGCTCGATCACAGTAAGTTGAAGCCGATCCGTTATCGATCCGCCAGACGGTCTTTTGTGTTGTTTGTACGATGTGATCCAAGCAGTTATTATTACCAATTACCAATTACCATTATGACTATTACGAGTATATCCACTTACATTTCCATTACGTTAGTGATGTTTTGAGTATTCAGATCCTACTCGAACCCCAATCTTCCACATTCCCCTCCTCTCTTTCTATCTCTCTTTCTATATATACCTCTGTCTCAGGCCCTCATTTCTTCATTCCTATCTATGATTTCTTAAGTGTGTACTATAATGCTTTCGTTCAGTTGAGTTTGTACCCGCTTCCGTTGTTCGTTTTGGTTGTCTATAACATTTAGATACAAGTATCTCTCATGTGCTAATAAGTAGTACTATATATATACCATACATGCCATTATATATACTATATCCTGTACAGTGGAAAGTGCCTAGATAAAAAAAGATATTGAAATAATTGATACCTCTGGGAGTTATTCCGATCTAAAATTGTAATTGAACCGAAGGGCATTCGTTCCTCATGTAGTCCATCCGATCCGAAGTGAAACATTGTGCTTGTGTCTGTGTAGTAGATGTAATTCGTACGGACGGCTCCGTATCCTATAATCGTATCCTTTTTGAAACTCTAGACAGTTGTAGAGCGCATTCGTCACTCACCTCTGCATTCAGACACTGTTACGCCCATCCATTTACACTACACTTTGACACATCCACAGTTTAAGATACAGATACAGATACAGATACAAATACAGAAACAGATACAGATACAGATACAGACACTCCACCTGTCACGTACTCAGCCCGATCATTAAACCAGATCAATGTCATGTACAGTGTGTCTTCTCATTGTGCTAAAAAAAAAAAAGAAAAGGTGATCGTTACGTTACCCTTTGTTCGATTTGCGTTCGTTATCGCTTTAGTTCGTTCTGATGATTTCCAATAATTTTCAATTTCTATTTCGATTTCGTGTTGAGCAAAAAACAAACCCAAACAAAACAAACTTCAATTCAATTCTTGATTGAAAACCTATTTAATTGTTCTATAATTTCGTACTAATGCGTCATTGCATATGTGTGCACGCATTCCGTTCTGTTTTCTCAATCCATTGAAGGTGTGTTTCGGAAAAGGTCTCTAAAAGGTAACTAAAACTGACTCAAATGTCACAAATACTAAAATAAATAATACAAAAAATTCAGAAATTCACAAACATGTATGAAGTTTCAAATTGAAACTGTTTACCAAATAAAATCGTTATTTGTTCATATTTAGTTGTTTCGTTCTATGCCAAACATAAAAAAGAAAAAACAAAAAACAAATGATAATAAATACGAATATTATTGTATTGCAAAATGAGGCAAATAACAAAATCAAAGAAGAAAATTCGACGAAAGAAAAAAATTTTGAAAATTCTGCATATTTTATTTATGATAAATTCTCTTGTTAAGAAACTATTGCAAATATTTCAAACAATTATTTATCAACTTCTAAGCCTTACAACTTCTTTTGTTTTTATTGGATTTCGTTAAGTTTTTTTTGCTCCTAAGTTGCCCCATTGATTTCCTGAGTTCCGTTGAGTTTATTTTTGCTTAAATTCGGGTTGCGCTGCGTCTTTGGGTTTACTGTGGCAGGAAGCTCAGGATTAACTTTCTGTTCGGGGCCCACTTCAGACCCCAAATTTATTGGCCATGTTCTCCATGCCAAGATATCGCTTCCAGCTCAAAACAGCTTCGTTTTGAAGTAAGCCAACTTTCCAATTTACTTTTTCGAACCTTAAGCTTGTCATGCAAACGTCTTTGCCGCCTTCTCTTTCTCTCTGTCTAACCTCTCTCTCCCTCTAACATCTAACAATAATATGATTACCTAAGCGATTTTCTGACTGCACGCGGTTTACTGCCAAATATTAACCTAAACTGCACAATTTCATTAAAAAAGTTGTAGGTCTTTGTAAGCTAAACTAAACGCTAAATGAAAGTTGCTCTTTGGGCCATCGAAACCGTATTTGAAGCAAGGCCACCTGAAGTGTGCCAAATGAACTTTGATTTGTTCCGTTGTTCAGTTACCAATTCGAGTCTTAATCCATACCAACATGTCATCCTTGTTAAGGCTATCTAGCTTCAAGTTTAATTTCCATTTAATTTAATAATTAATCTTTTTCGGTTGGAATGCCGTGCACCTGATTGTGGTTTGATTATTTCTTGTTCTGTTGATTCTTTTTTGTTTAATGTTGATTTTGTGAACATCATCAAGCAGAATATTATTATGTACAAAGACTTTTTTTCAAAAAATAAATAAATAAAAAACGTAAATGATCAATTTCGAATTTCTACTGTTTGTGGCACCAAAGAGAACTTTTCTGAAACCGAATAAATGTCAACTATTGAGGAAGAAACTAAAGTCAAGCCAGTGCTATGACAAGCTCAATAATATTTTATTGTTAAATACAAATATATAAACATCTAAGATAAATATCAAGTTGACGATTTCTTTTACATTCCTGAATTTAGTTATCCCTTATGTTGTCTTTAATTTCTTGATATCGTTTTCGTTGGTTCTTTTGTTGTTTTGAACACATTTACTACAACAAGAAACACGTGACACGCTCACTTATTTTTCATTCAAGAGAAACCAAACATTTGTTTTTCCAAAATATTAAGCATGTTGTTTCGAAACGGCTTCAAAGTAAGCAGCGCAACAAGTACCCTTAGTACTCGTACCTCTGTAAATGCTACAGCTCAATCAAATTAACCAAATATATGCTTGAAATCAAAGTGCCTCATCAACACACACACACACTCCATAACATGACAACACACAATAAAACTCTCTACACTCAACATTCATCACATTCATGCCATGCCAACACAGATAACAAGATACTCGATATTTCCAATACTTATCGCTAAATAAGATTTTACTATACCATTAACTACTATATACAATAATACTTTTCAATAATACTCCTATTCCATCTAATTGCTTTGTATTTAAAACACACACAACCGTATTCTCTCTGAACAAGTTTTTGAGTTGAGATTTTATGGTTTCGTTATGTGAAATTAGTTCAAACATTTTGGTATTCAATTCAATAATTATCTGCTAATGAGACAACAGTAGAGTTTTCAAGAGTTTTTACATACATATATGTAGTCTATGCGTAAACCCCTCCTCAGTCCCACTTCTGAGCCCCGCAATTGAACGTCTCCGTATTCCGTTTTTCGTCTCCCATCTAAATCCTCCATCGCCAGGCGGACCATCCCGTGCTCAATGGGAAGATGTTACCGGATCCACGCCCCTGACCTTTGTCAATGATTGTGTCTCCTTCACGACCACCGTTTCGGCTCGATTCTGGCTAATGGATTGCCGTAATATATCGGATGCCACCAAAATGGCCACTGAGCTGTACAAGTTAGTAATCTAGGATTATATCTTGGAGTTTTATATTTCATTTATAATTCTCTCAATGCAGGGAGGTAATCCATGTACCCTTCATTGCCAAGTTTGTGGTGTTCGCCAAGAAGATCGAACCGTTCGAAGCCCGACTGCGAGTGTTCTGTATGACCGACGATCGTGAGGATAAGACACTTGAGAAGCATGAGCTCTACACAGAAGTTGCCAAGAGCCGTGATGTAGAAGTCCTTGAAGGCAAGCCCCAGTACATTGAGATGGCTGGCAATCTTGTGCCCGTGACCAAGTCGGGTGACCAATTGCAGCTGCAGTTCAAGGCCTTCCGCGAGAACCGTCTGCCCTTCACCGTTCGCGTTAAGGATCAGCATGCCGACATTGTTGGCCGTACGCTGTTCATGAAGGAACCAAAGGTGGCCAAGGGTGAGCCACCACAACAGCCCATCTGCATCCTGAACATTGTACTCCCGGAAGCAGTGATTCCGGATTCTACAACGGCCTTCTCGGACCGTGTCACCTCCGCCTACAGAACCTCAATGTTTAGCTTGAGCAAACATCAAAATGATCATTACATCGGCGACATTCGCATTGTGGATCTATCGAATCTATTGGGCAAGGACTGGATCCAGTTGGCCCCAGAGATTGGCATAAATGCAGAGGAAATCGATGAGATCATCAACCAAAACACCGACAGTATTGCCAGACAGGCCCAGAGCATGATTCGTCTTTACAAGGACAAGCCCAACTATGACATTCTTTTGCTAGAAGCGGCACTCAAGAACATTGGACGGGACGATATTATGAAGAAGTGCAAGAGTGGGCGACTTTCGCATTCACGCGAGTTCGATGACACGGACATTATGAAGAACTCGGAATCCGTAGAAGAGCTGGTTCGCAGAGAAAGTATGTATTATATATATATATTTAATAGGATTCAAATAAACCATAGATAGAACATACATAGATAAAACATTATCCAATTCCATGTTGAATAACCCTTTAAGTTCTTCCTACAGGCAAGCGAATCCAGCAAATCAATGAACGCGAAGAGGTCAAATACTCAGCCGAGGAGAAGGAAGTCGAAGAATCCGAGTCCGATGAGGAAGCCGCCAAGCGCACGGTGGCCGAGAGGCGTGAGAAGATTGTCAAGCGTCTGTCCATGGAGCGATCCATTCCTGCATCCACCCAAAAGAAGGAGATAACCCGCGAAATAACCGAAATTAAGCGAAAGAGTCTAATCGAAGACAAGAAGGCCCATCACGAATCCGAGATCTTGATGCAGCTGCCTGCAGACAATGTGATCATTAAGACGACTACGGTACCCGAGCAGGTCATCAAGATGAAGATGGGTAAAATGGACTCCACCGAAGTGAGCAAGAGCGAGTTTGACAAGGAACTGACACACAAGTTCAAGACATCCGGACGCAGTTCAGAAGAGGAAGACCAGCCTTCTTCACCAGACCAGACCGATAAAATTGTCCAAGATATCAGCTCCGCTGAAAAGAAGGAAAAGGATGGAGTGACCTTCAGCCGGGTGACTACTATCACTCGCCAGGAGGCTCGTGACATCACCGAGGATTTCTGGAGATGGAGAAGCGCAGCCAACTCCCGGCTACTTCCACCACCGCAACCGTTCACGAGAAGTTCGTCGAAGAAGTCAAGGAAAAGACCAGCCCTATGGCATCAGTGCCACAGGACACTGTCAAGGAGGTTCAACAAGTCATCCAGGAGGTTACCGAAATAGCCAGCAAGAAGGTTGAGAACATAATTAGCTCCTTCGAGACCACCAAACCTCAGAGGCAACGGTTGTTCTACCTACCCAGACGACTTCCGAATCAACAAAGGTTAGCGAGACCATTAAGCACCTAGAAGATGTCAAGACGATTGCCCAAGAGCAAAAGAAGACGGTCCAAGTAATAGAGAGCTCCAGTATTGAGGAAACCATTGCCGACTTCGAAGCCAAGAAGGTTAAGTATGACTTCCATGGTGGCGAACCCAAGACACAGATCCCTAAGTTCACGAGGAAACCCAGCGAGGATTCTATGAAGCCTACTGCAGCTCCACGTGCTGCGGCTGAGCCTGAAATTGAGTCTGCAGTAGATACCAAATCCGAGAAGCCGATCTCAAAGATTCCAGTAAAGACATCTGCATCAGAAGTCGATGCTCGAAAGATGACCCAAGACTTTCTGCAGGGTGAGAAATTAGCCGCAGAGCCTAAGCCAGCCCCAGCAGCCAGCAAAATTCCAAAGGTGGAACCTAGGAAATCAGTAGAGAAAGTGGTCGAGAAGGAGTCGAAGATCTTAGATGATGTAGTAGCATCTACCGCGACCATAATGACAGCAGGTCTGGGTGCAGAGCAGCTCAAGGACAAGTCCGTCAAGCAGCCGGAAATTGCCGCCAAGGCTGATACTGTTGCCGAAAAGGTTTCCGAACTAGTTGACACATTCCACAAGATCGAGGAGAAGGTGACCAAGTCTGAGAAGACGTCAGAAATTTCCAGCAAAGTGGAGGACTTGGTAAAGGTTGAAGACAAGCCTCTGTTACAGACTCATTTCAAAGAAGACAAGGTGGCAGAAAAGGTAGCCGATGTTGTCGAAACATTCCACAAGATCGAGGAGCAGATAACCACCTCCGAAGCTCGCAAACTAACCCATGATTTCCTTAGCATGGAGCAGCAATCCCAACTGTCGAGCATGCCCTATGCCGCTGAAAAACCTCTTGAGTCCAGTCTTACATCCACCTCAGCCTCGGAACCAGATTCGGTGGTATCTGTGAAACCTTTACCGCCAGCAAGTAAGATACCTGTTGTTGAACCCAGGAAGACCCTGGTCGAAGAACTCCAAAGCCACTGATCGAACCGGAGCCTGTGAAACCAAGCGAAAAGAAGCCATTAAATGAGCCTGTGAAACCAAGCGAAAAGAAGCCATTAAATGAGCGTCAGCTCACCGCTGATTTCTTGAGCATGGAGCAGCAAACCCAACTGATGTCCGAACCCGCCAAGACACTCGTAGAGAGGTAACACAGACCACAGAGCAGCAAGTAGATCAGACACAGAAACCAAAACCTTTGAATGAGCGCCAACTCACTGAGGACTTTTTGAACATGGAGCAGCAAACCCAACTGCCATCTCAATTATTAGCGGTGATTCAAAGCCTTCAGATAAGCTAATCGATGGCATCGAGTCGGCGGCCCCAGTTGGTGATGTTTCATTATTCCAGACTCCCAAACTGACCACCAGTGTGGTGACCCAAGAGTCTCAAAGGCTGGCTACTGAATACGACAGCGACACTTTTGGCAAAGGGGCCACTATTCCACTGACCGAAACAATCAAACAAGAGGCACTCATTGCTCCCGTGTCGATGGAGCCACGCAAATCTCTGACCGATGCGGAGTTCTGCAAATCGGTGGGCGAAACTATCACCAAGAAAATGAGCGAGGGCGTGATTGAAATAACCGATGAGCTCAAGAAAATGGGTAAGCTATCCCTTAGACATTACCTTTCTTATTCTAACTATGACATCTTCAGCGAGCGACATTCCACACTCATGACTCCTCCGCCAACTCCAAGTGACACCAAAACCGAGAAGCAGACCGAGCAGCCCGAACTGATTAGCTTAGAGCGTGGTAAGTTCCTCAAGTTAAGCTCTGTCATGTTTTAGGTATTTAATAAATTTAATTAAAGATTATCTGGAAGACACTGTGACCACGTTGCACTCGACCACAGAGTCACATTTGAGCGCGTCTCTGCCATTACCAAAATTGGTAAGTGCAAGTCTTGAAATGAGTGGCTGCCTCTATGCTCAATTTCTATGCAATTTGTAATTGTTATGTAAAATGATTTTATATTTAAGTTCCTATGTTTGCCTTTTTGATAAAAAAAATATAAATCTGTAATTATTATTTAATGTACACCCCTTCTTTTTAATATACATTTCCTTTTTTAATTTTCGCCACAATCTGTAGTGTTTCTTGAACTGTTTTTAATTTCGTTCCCATTAGTTCCCATTTGGTTACTCCCACCTCTCTCTGTACCTCTACATTTCGTCATGATTTAAGTCCAAAGGCTTTTTGTATGCAAAGTACCATTCAACCATTAAACGATTGCGATCCAAGAACTGTTAGTTAATTGTATTTATAAACTTGAACGGCAAACTGCTAACTGCTACTGTGTGTATCTTAATAAAAAAAATTCTGTAAGTGCGGCAGTGAATGTGCCATAAATCTAAGCTAACAAGGATTTACAATCTCCCAAATAAAACCGCCAGACCGTAGCGCATTGAATGAACGTGGCCAAAATTCTGCAGAAATTAACTTCCAAAGAAAGCCAGTGCTAGGTTGCCAAGTATGCATGGCTAATCCAATTACGTTAACACTGACGAAAGGTCGCAGAAACATCGCTAATTGTCTAGCTGGCGCCGTAGATATATCTGCGTATACGTAACATTCAGAGGTGTCAATGTCAGTGGGACAGTGAATCGATATATTGATCAGTGAATCGATTGTGCACCGGTAACTTTACTCTCGACAGGCTCTCCGATCGGTGGAGGAAAATTCCCGTTGACTGGCAAAGCCTATTAGCCCATTAGCGTCGAAAGGCATCCACAGTTAATAGCATTTTCCAGGGGTTTTCTTATATAATTGGCGTCTGTGCAATTTGCCTTTGCCACTGCCATCGTGAGCAATCCGACCGTTGCGCACTTATGTCATAGGGCCAGGGGCCAGCCAACTAGCGACCGAAAGCCGAGCGGTGGCGTATACTTAATTTAATTTGCTTCTGGCATTCTTGCAGTACGGCTATAGGCGCGCTTTCCAAACAGATTTAGTTTCGAATTTGTATTTCCCAAGTACGCGCGATCCGAAAATCAGACAGCAACGCGTCTCTGTGAATTTCGATGCTTTAAAGTGAAGAAATAGGAATTATTACAGAATAGAATGCCTGCAAATTCTAAAAAGTGAAGTTACTCAGCAATTACGATTTGTGTTTTTAAAGTTCATTCAGTGCGCTACGGCATAAACTAATTAAATAAACTTAACCAAACACTAAAGTAACTTTAAGCCTATTGTATCTTAATGGTAAGTTCCCATGTATAATTACAATCAATTTGAAAAGTTGCCACAGCATTAAGACTTATGTTTATGATGGGTATCGTTTCCTGTTAGGGCTGTACCTCATTGTTTTCCACTCAGCTCTCATGGTGTAACCAATTACGTTTGCAATTTTTGACCAACTATTTAAGCAATTGAGTTTATGTTTCGTAATCTACTACTACTACTACTACTGCTGCAAGTTACAGTTAAAATACTTCAATTTGTGTTAACATATGTAATAACCTTGTTTAAATATACTCGTAAATAACTATTGGTCTATAGATGGATCTATGGATAAGCCATGCCATGTAATCTACAATATACTACCTATATATTGATATACGTTTACCAATTACTACAAGATTTTTTTCATTAAGATAAACACTTTTGGCATACTTTTGGATTTCCGAAATTGAAAAAAAAACCAAATTAAACTTTACCCATATGGGGATCAACTAGCAGCTGACTGAGATGATCTCTGGTCACGTTCCGATCTCCATATGAGGACTCATCGAAGAACACTCCAATAAAAAAAAACAACCACCATGGCCTTCAGTTTGCAATGTTTATGTTTGATTTGTTTTCAGCAAATAATTATGTGTTCTGTTGCTTTTCGTAACTTTAGCAATTCCTAACGAAAAAGCCTATATAAATATATATCTATCATATATATCTAATGATATTAGTGTACTGTAACTGAATGTTAAGTCAAACCACATCCAGTTCTCACAGTAGCATATCTATATAGTAAATAGCATATCGTACTCCTATACTCGTACTCTTTGTCATTATTTGCGATTTTTAAAGCCAACAGCCACAACTACATATATTAGACCACCATATAATCAACGTATGTTTGTTTGCACCCCCAGACCCACCAACCCAGCGAGCTTCTTTATGTAAATGGTTGTTAATTAATAGATCGCATTGTATAGCGTACGATTATGTGACATATGATGTCGTGGTTGTTATTATTCTTGCAGTACTTTAGCCAATTTTGCCACTTTTGATTTCGTAATCAACATAAACATTGCTTAAATATTTGCAAAACCAAAAATATGCAAACGTAATCAGTTCAGCTCAAAATCGTACTCGAAGCATTGAATTTTGTGTGCAGCAATGGGCCCAATAATCCACGACCTCATATGCAGCATCTATACGTATGCGGCTGAATGCAGCTCAGCTCCGCTAAGCTAAGCTAAGCTTCATCTGGCATCGTCAAGTGCGAAGGATATATATTTTGATTTCGCTTCTCGAATAACTTCAATAAGCATTAATTGCATGATTGTGCCTGCTGCTGGGTTTTTGGCGTACAGCTTGTAGTAAGAATATATATTAATGTACGACATATCTTTGTATGTCGGCAACTCAATTGCACTGTGTACATAGACTAACCCACCATTAAGCCCATGGTTGACTTGTAATCGGTGTTAACTGTCTTTATATTGCCATGTTTTCTACTCCACTCTACTGCTACTTCTAAACAAAACCAATACCAATTTTGCCATCGCGGAATGCCTCAACAGAGCACTTCAGTGTTCATAATGTAAACCCGAAACCTTTACAAGAACAGATGAAACTGATAAGCTGCTTCATAGTGTGGTAGCTCCCCCGATATTCCGAAAATGTACTCACCAGACACTACCTCATTTACAGAAATGAGTACAAGTAGTCAAACACCGAAGATGACAACCACAACGACCTTAACAGCGCAAGTAGATCGAACCATAGTTGACTTGACCATCCCAGAGAAAGATAAACCAGAGCTTCCGCGAGAGAAGTTACCCAAGGATCGGTCACCAGTAGATATAGATGCTGAAAAGGCTGCCAGTGATAGGGAGTACTTAGAGCAGATTATGGGCTGTGGTGATGTTAGACGCAAGGTAATGCGTTTGGAGAGCAGCGGCAGTACAGAATCATTGGATTCGAGTGTCAAGCAAACGGCTGTGATACCCAAGTATATTGGCGACAATGTGCCGGTGGTGCGAGAGGTGGTGCAGAGCATCGAGGATAAGATCTGCAGTACAATGGTATCGGCCATTCCTTTCGCCGTGCAGAAGCGGCAGCCTCACGAAGATGACAAGGAACCCAATGTAGTGGAACTGGAGAAGCAAATATTAACGCCAGCGGACTTGGCTCTGGATAAGTTAATCAAGTGCGAACTGCCGACAGAGGTAGTCAAAATTTCGCCCATCGAGTCCATGGAACATGTGAGCCTTGGCTTAAAAGAGATTGAGGAGGAAGTTTGCGAGAAAGTTTGTGAGAAGCGTAAGGCCTTTGAGGTGGCTGAAGACTTATGTGAAACGGAAAAGACTTTAAAGGAACAGGTAATAGGATTAGGCAGGCAAGTAGAATTGGTACCTGGCAAGATTTTAACTGAAACTATTGAAGAGCATAAAGACTTAGGGGATAAGGAAGCCATTGACTCATTGCCAAGGGTGAGGGAAGTAGTGCAGGATATTGAACGCAGATATCCAGTCTCGAGCCTGGAGGCCAAGCCGTTTAGTCCACGAACCAAGTCAGCTCAGGACCGTAAGGTGGATGTTTCCATTATAGAGCAGCAAATTTTAAGCGATGCCGATCTGATTTTAGATGGGTTAGGCTCAAAGAGCGTTCCGGAGCAGAAAGTGCACGCACCCCTTTCGGCTATGGCCAAGGCGAGCGACAGTATTGAAAACCTCGAAGACGTCTGTGAAAAGAAGTGCTCTAAGCGCATAATTTCAGATATGGCACAGGCCAACGAAGATCAAGAAAACACGGAAAGTGTACTAGAAATTGACGACGTCAAGTCGATCACAGCCAAGTTCCTTGACCATGAGTCTACCAAAGTCCACGTAACTGAAAGTATTCATGATTTTGAGACTAATAGTATTGTTCGCGAAGGCTTGACAGAGATTGCAGAGAGTCAAATTAGATTATTAAAAGAATGTGATAAGCAAGAATTTCCAATAGAATCGACTAAGAACATTAAACTTGTAGAATTTCCTAAAATTGCACACACCTTGGAACGATTACATTCCATTTCTAAAACAGACATTGATCACACAAAGGAGTTTGCCCACGAAGCCAGTGAATTTGAGAAGAAGTTGGATAACCTAGTTGAGCAGTCCTTAGCACAGAAGGAACACAAACTCGTAGAAAGGAATACATCTAGCAAATTTCCAACCCAAGATGATGTAATCCAGCTTGAGGGCCTCCAGCATTCGATCTCGAAGACCACTGAACTGGTTTCAATGACTGAAGATGCACACACTAAATTTCCATCCGATGGGAAGCCTAAATTATTTTAAAGCAAATCGACAGCGATAGTGATGAAGAGTTGGATAACTTTAAGAAATTGAAAATTAAAACTTCTTAAAATTGAGAATATATCAATACAATATTAGTTAAAGATACTGAATGTACTCAACAAAGCACAATTTCAAAGTTTCCAACAGGAAAAGTTGACACGTACAGCCAATTGGGTGAAGAAGGACAGCTTCAAACTGAAGATTGGCCTACGGGTCAGACCAAATCTACTAGCCTAGACTACAAGCCAGAATCTCCCACTAGTTTAATAAAACCTTTACCAAAAGACTACTCAACCGATGAAAGCGACAAAGAGTTTCCAATTTCCAAGCCTCAAGACAAGACTATTGGTCAGCCCGCTCCATCCGCAACTCCCTTCACCGGCGTTGGTGACAAGTCTCCAATTAAAGAAGAAGTTAAGCCTACTGTTTCAATTTCCAAAGTAGAAGAAAGCTCAACAACATTTTACTCAGACAGCACTAGTTTCAAATCAGTTAGTATCATTAAACCATCAGATCCTTTCTCAAGTTTCCAAGGTGACAAAATTGGGGATAAATCTCCTCTTAAAGAAGGTGACAAACCGATGCCCATTGACGTTAAGGATGACAAACCCCCAACTAAACTGGACGACAAACCAAAGTCTCCTCTTGATTCAATAAAACCTATTCAACAACAATACTCGGACGATGAAAGCGATGAAGAGTTTGGAATTCCGAAGCCCCAAGACAAGACTGTGGCTCAGCCAACTCCATCCACAGCTCCCTTAAGCGGCGTTGATAATAAATCTCTTCTGAAAGATGAACTTAAGCCTATAGTTTCAATTTCAAAAGTAGAAGAAAGCTCAACAACACTTCACTCCGAGAGCACTATTTTCAAATCAGTTGGTATAATTAACGCATCAGATCCTTTCTCAAGTTTCCAAGGTGACAAAATTGGGGATAAATCTCCTCTTAAAGAAGCAGACAAACCGAAGCCCATTGACGTTAAGGTAGACAAGGCCCCTACTAAACTGGACGACAAACCAAAGTCTCCTCTTGATTCAGTAAAACCTATTCAACAAGAATACTCGGACGATGAAAGCGATGAAGAGTTTGGAATTCCGAAGCCCCAAGACAAGACTGTTGGTCAGCCAACTCCATCCACAGCTCCCTTTAGCGCCGTTAGTGAAAAATCTCCTGTAATAGAAGCACACAAACCGATGCCCATTGACGTTAAGGATGATAAAGCCCCTACTAAACTGGACGACAAACCAAAATCTCCTCTTGATTTAATAAACCCTATTCAACAACAATACTCGGACGATGAAAGCGATGAAGAGTTTGGAATTCCGAAGCCCCAAGACAAGACTGTTGGTCAGCCAACTCCATCCACAGCTCCCTTTAGCGCCGTTAGTGAAAAATCTCCTGTAATAGAAGCAGACAAACCGATGCCCATTGACGTTAAGGATGACAACGCCCCTACTAAACTGGACGACAAACCAAAATCACCTCTTGATTCAGTAAAACCTATTCAACAAGAATACTCGGACGATGAAAGCGATGAAGAGTTTGGAATTCCGAAGCCCCAAGACAAGACTGTGGCTCAGCCAACTCCATCCACAGCTCCCTTAAGCGGCGTTGATAATAAATCTCTTCTGAAAGATGAACTTAAGCCTATAGTTTCAATTTCAAAAGTAGAAGAAAGCTCAACAACACTTCACTCCGAGAGCACTATTTTCAAATCAGTTGGTATAATTAAGGCATCAGATCCTTTCTCAAGTTTCCAAAGTCACAAAATTGGGGATAAATCTCCTCTTAAAGAAGCAGACAAACCGAAGCCCATTGACGTTAAGGTAGACAAGGCCCCTACTAAACTGGACGACAAACCAAAGTCTCCTCTTGATTCAGTAAAACCTATTCAACAAGAATACTCGGACGATGAAAGCGATGAAGAGTTTGGAATTTCGAAGCCCCAAGACAAGACTGTTGGTCAGCCAACTCCATCAGTAGCTCCCTTTAGCGGCGTAGATTATAAATCTCTTCTGAAAGAAGAACTTAAGCCTACTGTTTCAATTTCAGAAGTAGATGAAAACTCAACAAAACTTCACTCCGAAAGCACTATTTTCAAATCAGTTGGTATAATTAAGCCATCAGATCCTTTCTCAAGATTCCAAGGTGACAAAATTGGGGATAAACCTCCTCTTAAAGAAGCAGACAAACCGAAGCCCATTGACGTTAAGGTTGACAAGGCCCTTACTAAACTGGACGACAAACCAAAGTCTCCTCTTGATTCAATAAAACCTATTCAACAAGAATACTCGGACGATGAAAGCGATGAAGAGTTTGGAATTTCGAAGCCCCAAGACAAGACTGTTGGTCAGCCAACTCCATCAGTAGCTCCCTTTAGCGGCGTAGATTATAAATCTCTTCTGAAAGAAGAACTTAAGCCTACTGTTTCAATTTCAAAAGTAGTAGAAAGCTCAACAACACTTCACTCCGACAGCACTATTATCAAATCAGTTGGTATAATTAAGCCATCAGATCCTTTCTCAAGTTTCCAAGGTGACAAAATTGGGGATAAATCTCCTCTTAAAGAAGCAGACAAACCGAAGCCCATTGACGTTAAGGATGACAAAGGCCCAACTAAACTGGACGACAAACCAAAGTCTTCTCTTGATTCAATAAAACCTATTCAACAAGAATACTCGGACGATGAAAGCGATGAAGAGTTTGGAATTCCGAAGCCCCAAGACAAGACTGTTGGTCAGCCAACTCCATCCACAGCTCCCTTTAGCGCCGTTAGTAAAAAATCTCCTGTAATAGAAGCACACAAACCGATGCCCATTGACGTTAAGGATGATAAAGAGCCTACTAAACTGGACGACAAACCAAAATCTCCTCTTGATTTAATAAACCCTATTCAACAACAATACTCGGACGATGAAGAGTTTGGAATTCCGAAGCCCCAAGACAAGACTGTTGGTCAGCCAACTCCATCCACAGCTCCCTTTAGCGCCGTTAGTGAAAAATCTCCTGTAATAGAAGCAGACAAACCGATGCCCATTGACGTTAAGGATGACAAAGCCCCTACTAAACTGGACGACAAACCAAAATCACCTCTTGATTCAGTAAAACTTATTCAACAAGAATACTCGGACGATGAAAGCGATGAAGAGTTTGAAATAACCAAGCCCCAAGACAAGACTGTTGGTCAGCCAACTCCATCAGTAGCTCCCTTTAGCGGCGTAGATGATAAATCTCTTCTGAAAGAAGAACTTAAGCCTACTGTTTCAATTTCAAAAGTAGTAGAAAGCTCACCAACACTTCACTCCGACAGCACTACTATCAAATCAGTTGGTATAATTAAGCCATCAGATCCTTTCTCAAGTTTCCAAGGTGACAAAATTGGGGATAAATCTCCTCTTAAAGAAGCAGACAAACCGAAGCCCATTGACGTTAAGGATGACAAAGCCCCTACTAAACTGGACGACAAACCAAAATCACCTCTTGATTCAGTAAAACCTATTCAACAAGAATACTCGGACGATGAAAGCGATGAAGAGTTTGGAATAACCAAGCCCCAAGACATGACTGTTGGTCAGCCAACTCCATCAGTAGCTCCCTTTAGCGCCGTTAGTGAAAAATCTCCTCTAAAGGAAGCAGACATACTGAAGCCAATTGACGCTAAGGATGACAAAGCCCCTACTAAACTGGACGACAAACCAAAATCACCTCTTGATTCAGTAAAACCTATTCAACAAGAATATTCGGACGATGAAAGCGATGAAGAGTTTGGAATTCCCAGGCCCCAAGACAAGACTCTTGGTCTGCCAACTCCTTCAGTAGCTCCCTTTAGCGGCGAAGATGATAAATCTCTTCTGAAAGAAGAACTTAAGCCTAGTGTTTCAATTTCAAAAGTCGTAGAAAGCTCAACAACACTTCACTCCGACAGCACTATTATCAAATCAGTTGGTATAATTAAGCCATCAGATCCTTTCTCAAGTTTCCAAGGTGACAAAATTGGGGATAAATCTCCTCTTAAAGAAGCAGACAAACCGAAGCCCATTGACGATAAGGATGACAAAGCCCCTACTAAACTAGACGATAAACCAAAATCACCTCTTGATTCAGTAAAACCTATTCAACAAGAATACTCGGACAATGAAGAGTTTGGAATTCCCAAGCCCCAAGACAAGACTCTTGGTCAGCCAACTCCATCCACAGCTCCCTTTAGCGCCGTTAGTGAAAAATCTCCTGTAATAGAAGCAGACAAACCGATGCCCATTGACGTTAAGGATGACAAAGCCCCTACTAAACTGGACGACAAACCAAAATCACCTCTTGATTCAGTAAAACTTATTCAACAAGAATACTCGGACGATGAAAGCGATGAAGAGTTTGAAATAACCAAGCCCCAAGACAAGACTGTTGGTCAGCCAACTCCATCAGTAGCTCCCTTTAGCGCCGTTAGTGAAAAATCTCCATTAAAAGAAGCAGACAAACCGATGCCCATTGACGTTAAGGATGACAAAGCCCCTACTAAACTGGACGACAAAACAAAATCACCTATTGATTCAGTAAAACCTATTCAAGAAGAATACTCGGACGATGAAAGCGATGAAGAGTTTGGAATTCCGAAGCCCCAAGACAAGACTGTTGGTCAGCCAACTCCATCAGCAGCTCCATTTAGCGCCGTTGATAAAAAGTCTCCTCTAAAGGAAACAGACAAACCGATGCCCATTGACGTTAAGGATGATAAAGCCCCTACTAAACTGGACGACAAACCAAAATCTCCTCTTGATTTAATAAACCCTATTCAACAACAATACTCGGACGATGAAAGCGATGAAGAGTTTGGAATTCCGAAGCCCCAAGACAAGACTGTGGCTCAGCCAACTCCATCCACAGCTCCCTTTAGCGCCGTTAGTGAAAAATCTCCATTAAAAGAAGCAGACAAGCCGATGCCCATTGACGTTAAGGATGACAAAGCCCCTACTAAACTGGACGACAAACCAAAGTCTCCTCTTGATTCAGTGAAACCTATTCAACAAGAATACTCGGACGATGAAAGCGATGAAGAGTTTGGAATTCCGAAGCCCCAAGACAAGACTGTTGGTCAGCCAACTCCATCAGTAGCTCCCTTTAGCGCCGTTAGTGAAAGATCTCCTTTAAAAGAAGCAGACAAACCGATGCCCATTGACGTTAAGGATGACAAAGCCCCTACTAAACTGGACTGCAAACCAAAGTCTCATCTTGATTCAGTAAAACCTATTCAACAAGAATACTCGGACGATGAAAGCGATGAAGAGTTTGGTATTCCCAAGCCTCAAGACATGACTGTTGGTCAGCCAACTCCATCAGTAGCTCCCTTTAGCGGCGTTAGTGAAAAATCTCCTCTAAAGGAAACAGACAAACCGAAGACATTTGACGTTAAGGATGACAAAGCTTCTACTAAACTGGACGACAAACCAAAATCACCTCTTGATTCAGTAAAACCTTTTCAACAAGAATATTCGGACGATGAAAGCGATGAAGAGTTTGGAATTCCGAAGCCCCAAGACAAGACTGTTGGTCAGCCAACTCCATCAGCAGCTCCATTTAGCGCCGTTGATAAAAAGTCTCCTCTAAAGGAAACAGACAAATCGATGCCCATTGACGTTAAGGATGATAAAGCCCCTACTAAACTGGACGACAAACCAAAATCTCCTCTTGATTTAATAAACCCTATTCAACAACAATACTCGGACGATGAAAGCGATGAAGAGTTTGGAATTCCGAAGCCCCAAGACAAGACTGTGGCTCAGCCAACTCCATCCACAGCTCCCTTTAGCGCCGTTAGTGAAAAATCTCCATTAAAAGAAGCAGACAAGCCGATGCCCATTGACGTTAAGGATGACAAAGCCCCTACTAAACTGGACGACAAACCAAAGTCTCCTCTTGATTCAGTGAAACCTATTCAACAAAATACTCGGACGATGAAAGCGATGAAGAGTTTGGAATTCCGAAGCCCCAAGACAAGACTGTGGCTCAGCCAACTCCATCCACAGCTCCCTTTAGCGCCGTTAGTGAAAAATCTCCTTTAAAAGAAGCAGACAAACCGATGCCTATTGACGTTAAGGATGACAAAGCCCCTACTAAATTGGACGACAAACCAAAGTCTCCTCTTGATTCAGTAAAACTTATTCAACAAGAATACTCGGACGATGAAAGCGATGAAGAGTTTGAAATTCCCAGGCCCCAAGACAAGACTCTTGTTCTGCCAACTCCTTCAGTAGCTCCCTTTAGCGGCGTTGATGATAAATCTCTATTGAAAGAAGAACTTAAGCCTACTGTTTCAATTTCAAAAGTAGATGAAAGCTCAACAACACTTCACTCCGAAAGCACTATTTTCAAATCAGTTGGTATAATTAAGCCATCAGATCCTGTCTCAAGTTTCCAAGGTGACAAAATTGGGAATAAATCTCCTCTTAAAGAAGCAGACAAACCGATGCCCATTGACGTTAAGGATGACAAAGCCCCTACTGAACTAGACGATAAACCAAAGTCTCCTCTTGATTCAGTAAAACCTTTTCAACAAGAATATTCGGACGCTGAAAGCGATGAAGAGTTTGGAATTCCGAAGCCCCAAGACAAGACTGTTGGTCAGCCAACTCCATCAGCAGCTCCATTTAGCGCCGTTGATAAAAAGTCTCCTCTAAAGGAAACAGACAAACCGATGCCCATTGACGTTAAGGATGACAAAGCCCCTACTAAACTGGACGACAAACCAAAGTCTCCTCTTGATTCAGTGAAACCTATTCAACAAAAATACTCGGACGATGAAAGCGATGAAGAGTTTGGAATTCCGAAGCCCCAAGACAAGACTGTGGCTCAGCCAACTCCATCCACAGCTCCCTTTAGCGCCGTTAGTGAAAAATCTCCTTTAAAAGAAGCAGACAAACCGATGCCTATTGACGTTAAGGATGACAAAGCCCCTACTAAATTGGACGACAAACCAAAGTCTCCTCTTGATTCAGTAAAACTTATTCAACAAGAATACTCGGACGATGAAAGCGATGAAGAGTTTGAAATTCCCAGGCCCCAAGACAAGACTGTTGGTCAGCCAACTCCTTCAGTAGCTCCCTTTAGCGGCGTTGATGATAAATCTCTTCTGAAAGAAGAACTTAAGCCTACTGTTTCAATTTCAAAAGTAGAAGAAAGCTCAACAACACTTCACTCTGAGAGCACTATTTTCAAATCAGTTGGTATAATTAAGCCATCAGATCCTTTCTCAAGTTTCCAAGGTGACAAAATTGGGGATAAATCTCCTCTTAAAGAAGCAGACAAACCGATGCCCATTGACGTTAAGGATGACAAAGCCCCTACTAAACTGGACGACAAACCAAAGTCTCCTCTTGATTCAGTAAAACTTATTCAACAACAATACTCGGACGATGAAAGCGATGAAGAGTTTGGAATTCCGAAGCCCCAAGACAAGACTGTGGCTCAGCCAACTCCATCCACAGCTCCCTTTAGCGCCGTTAGTGAAAAATCTCCATTAAAAGAAGCAGACAAGCCGATGCCCATTGACGTTAAGGATGACAAAGCCCCTACTAAACTGGACCACAAACCAAAGTCTCCTCTTGATTCAGTAAAACTTATTCAACAAGAATACTCGGACGATGAAAGCGATGAAGAGTTTAAAATTCCCAGGCCCCAAGACAAGACTCTTGTTCTGCCAACTCCTTCAGTAGCTCCCTTTAGCGGCGTTGATGATAAATCTCTATTGAAAGAAGAACTTAAGCCTACTGTTTCAATTTCAAAAGTAGAAGAAAGCTCAACAACACTTCACTCTGAGAGCACTATTTTCAAATCAGTTGGTATAATTAAGCCATCAGATCCTTTCTCAAGTTTCCAAGGTGACAAAATTGGGGATAAATCTCCTCTTAAAGAAGGTGACAAACCGATGCCCATTGACGTTAAGGATGACAAAGCCCCTACTAAACTGGACGACAAACCAAAGTCTCCTCTTGATTCAGTAAAACTTATTCAACAAGAATACTCTGACGATGAAAGCGCTGAAGAGTTTGGAATTCCGAAGCCCCAAGACAAGACTGTGGCTCAGCCAACTCCATCCACAGCTCCCTTTAGCGCCGTTAGTGAAAAATCTCCTCTAAAGGAAGCAGACAAACCGATGCCTATTGACGTTAAGGATGACAAAGCCCCTACTAAACTGGACGATAAACCAAAGTCTCCTCTTGATTCAGTAAAACCTATTCAACAAGAATATTCGGACGATGAAAGCGATGAAGAGTTTGGAATTCCCAGGCCCCAAGACAAGACTGTTGGTCAGCCAACTCCTTCAGTAGCTCCCTTTAGCGGCGTTGATGATAAATCTCTTCTGAAAGAAGAACTTAAGCCTACTGTTTCAATTTCAAAAGTAGAAGAAAGCTCAACAACACTTCACTCTGAGAGCACTATTTTCAAATCAGTTGGTATAATTAAGCCATCAGATCCTTTCTCAAGTTTCCAAGGTGACAAAATTGGGGATAAATCTCCTCTTAAAGAAGGTGACAAACCGATGCCCATTGACGTTAAGGATGACAAACCCCCAACTAAACTGGACGACATACCAAAGTTTCCTCTTGATTCAATAAAACCTATTCAACAACAATACTCGGACGATGAAAGCGATGAAGAGTTTGGAATTCCGAAGCCCCAAGACAAGACTGTGGCTCAGCTAACTCCATCCACAGCTCCCTTTAGCGCCGTTAGTGAAAAATCTCCATTAAAAGAAGCAGACAAGCCGATGCCCATTGACGTTAAGGATGACAAAGCCCCTACTAAACTGGACGACAAACCAAAGTCTCCTCTTGATTCAGTAAAACTTATTCAACAAGAATACTCTGACGATGAAAGCGCTGAAGAGTTTGGAATTCCGAAGCCCCAAGACAAGACTGTGGCTCAGCCAACTCCATCCACAGCTCCCTTTAGCGCAGTTAGTGAAAAATCTCCTCTAAAGGAAGCAGACAAACCGATGCCCATTGACGTTAAGGATGACAAAGCCCCTACTAAACTGGACGATAAACCAAAGTCTCCTCTTGATTCAGTAAAACTTATTCAACAAGAATACTCTGACGATGAAAGCGCTGAAGAGTTTGGAATTCCGAAGCCCCAAGACAAGACTGTGGCTCAGCCAACTCCATCCACAGCTCCCTTTAGCGCCGTTAGTGAAAAATCTCCTCTAAAGAAGCAGACAAACCGATGCCCATTGACGTTAAGGATGACAAAGCCCCTACTAAACTGGACGATAAACCAAAGTCTCCTCTTGATTCAGTAAAACCTATTCAACAAGAATATTCGGACGATGAAAGCGCTGAAGAGTTTGGAATTCCGAAGCCCCAAGACAAGACTGTGGCTCAGCCAACTCCATCCACAGCTCCCTTTAGCGCCGTTAGTGAAAAATCTCCATTAAAAGAAGCAGACAAGCCGATGCCCATTGACGTTAAGGATGACAAAGCCCCTACTAAACTGGACGACAAACCAAAGTCTCCTCTTGATTCAGTAAAACTTATTCAACAAGAATACTCTGACGATGAAAGCGCTGAAGAGTTTGGAATTCCGAAGCCCCAAGACAAGACTGTGGCTCAGCCAACTCCATCCGCAGCTCCCTTTAGCGCAGTTAGTGAAAAATCTCCTCTAAAGCAAGCAGACAAACCGATGCCCATTGACGTTAAGGATGACAAAGCCCCTACTAAACTGGACGATAAACCAAAGTCTCCTCTTGATTCAGTAAAACCTATTCAACAAGAATATTCGGACGATGAAAGCGATGAAGAGTTTGGAATTCCCAGGCCCCAAGACAAGACTGTTGGTCAGCCAACTCCTTCAGTAGCTCCCTTTAGCGGCGTTGATGATAATTCTCTTCTGAAAGAAGAACTTAAGCCTACTGTTTCAATTTCAAAAGTAGAAGAAAGCTCAACAACACTTCACTCTGAGAGCACTATTTCAAATCAGTTGGTATAATTAAGCCATCAGATCCTTTCTCAAGTTTCCAAGGTGACAAAATTGGGGATAAATCTCCTCTTAAAGAAGGTGACAAGCCGATGCCCATTGACGTTAGGGATGACAAAGCCCCTACTAAACTGGACGACAAACCAAAGTCTCCTCTTGATTCAGTAAAACTTATTCAACAACAATACTCGGACGATGAAAGCGCTGAAGAGTTTGGAATTCCGAAGCCCCAAGACAAGACTGTGGCTCAGCCAACTCCATCCACAGCTCCCTTTAGCGCCGTTAGTGAAAAATCTCCTCTAAAGGAAGCAGACAAACCGATGCCCATTGACGTTAAGGATGACAAAGCCCCTACTAAACTGGACGATAAACCAAAGTCTCCTCTTGATTCAGTAAAACCTATTCAACAAGAATATTCGGACGATAAAAGCGATGAAGAGTTTGGAATTCCCAGGCCCCAAGACAAGACTATTGGTCAGCCAACTCCTCTTCTGAAAGAAGAACTTAAGCCTACTGTTTCAATTTCAAAAGTAGAAGAAAGCTCAACAACACTTCACTCTGAGAGCACTATTTTCAAATCAGTTGGTATAATTAAGCCATCAGATCCTTTCTCAAGTTTCCAAGGTGACAAAATTGGGGATAAATCTCCTCTTAAAGAAGGTGACAAACCGATGCCCATTGACGTTAAGGATGACAAACCCCCAACTAAACTGGACGACATACCAAAGTCTCCTCTTGATTCAATAAAACCTATTCAACAACAATACTCGGACGATGAAAGCGATGAAGAGTTTGGAATTCCGAAGCCCCAAGATAAGACTGTGGCTCAGCCAACTCCATCCACAGCTCCCTTTAGCGCCGTTAGTGAAAAATCTCCATTAAAAGAAGCAGACAAGCCGATGCCCATTGACGTTAAGGATGACAAAGCCCCTACTAAACTGGACGACAAACCAAAGTCTCCTCTTGATTCAGTAAAACTTATTCAACAAGAATACTCTGACGATGAAAGCGCTGAAGAGTTTGGAATTCCGAAGCCCCAAGACAAGACTGTGGCTCAGCCAACTCCATCCACAGCTCCCTTTAGCGCCGTTAGTGAAAAATCTCCTCTAAAGGAAGCAGACAAACCGATGCCCATTGACGTTAAGGATGACAAAGCCCCTACTAAACTGGACGATAAACCAAAGTCTCCTCTTGATTCAGTAAAACCTATTCAACAAGAATATTCGGACCATGAAAGCGATGAAGAGTTTGGAATTCCCAAGCCCCAAGACAAGACTATTGGTCAGCCAACTCCTCTTCTGAAAGAAGAACTTAAGCCTACTGTTTCAATTTCAAAAGTAGAAGAAAGCTCAACAACACTTCACTCTGAGAGCACTATTTTCAAATCAGTTGGTATAATTAAGCCATCAGATCCTTTCTCAAGTTTCCAAGGTGACAAAATTGGGGATAAATCTCCTTTTAAAGAAGGTGACAAACCGATGCCCATTGACGTTAAGGATGACAAACCCCCAACAAAACTGGACGACAAACCAAAGTCTCCTCTTGATTCAGTAAAACTTATTCAACAACAATACTCGGACGATGAAAGCGATGAAGAGTTTGGAATTCCGAAGCCCCAAGACAAGACTGTGGCTCAGCCAACTCCATCCACAGCTCCCTTTAGCGCCGTTAGTGAAAAATCTCCTCTAAAGGAAGCAGACAAACCGATGCCCATTGACGTTAAGGATGACAAAGCCCCTACTAAACTGGACGATAAACCAAAGTCTCCTCTTGATTCAGTAAAACCTATTCAACAAGAATATTCGGACGATGAAAGCGATGAAGAGTTTGGAATTCCCAGGCCCCAAGACAAGACTGTTGGTCAGCCAACTCCTTCAGTAGCTCCCTTTAGCGGCGTTGATGATAAATCTCTTCTGAAAGAAGAACTTAAGCCTACTGTTTCAATTTCAAAAGTAGAAGAAAGCTCAACAACACTTCACTCTGAGAGCACTATTTTCAAATCAGTTGGTATAATTAAGCCATCAGATCCTTTCTCAAGTTTCCCAGGTGACAAAATTGGGGATAAATCTCCTTTTAAAGAAGGTGACAAACCGATGCCCATTGACGTTAAGGATGACAAACCCCCAACTAAACTGGACGACAAACCAAAGTCTCCTCTTGATTCAATAAAACCTATTCAACAACAATACTCGGACGATGAAAGCGATGAAGAGTTTGGAATTCCGAAGCCCCAAGACAAGACTGTGGCTCAGCCAACTCCATCCACAGCTCCCTTTAGCGCCGTTAGTGAAAAATCTCCATTAAAAGAAGCAGACAAGCCGATGCCCATTGACGTTAAGGATGACAAAGCCCCTACTAAACTGGACGACAAACCAAAGTCTCCTCTTGATTCAATAAAACCTATTCAACAACAATACTCGGACGATGAAAGCGATGAAGAGTTTGGAATTCCGAAGCCCCAAGATAAGACTGTGGCTCAGCCAACTCCATCCACAGCTCCCTTTAGCGCCGTTAGTGAAAAATCTCCATTAAAAGAAGCAGACAAGCCGATGCCCATTGACGTTAAGGATGTCAAAGCCCCTACTAAACTGGACGACAAACCAAAGTCTCCTCTTGATTCAGTAAAACTTATTCAACAAGAATACTCTGACGATGAAAGCGCTGAAGAGTTTGGAATTCCGAAGCCCCAAGACAAGACTGTGGCTCAGCCAACTCCATCCACAGCTCCCTTTAGCGCCGTTAGTGAAAAATCTCCTCTAAAGGAAGCAGACAAACCGATGCCCATTGACGTTAAGGATGACAAAGCCCCTACTAAACTGGACGATAAACCAAAGTCTCCTCTTGATTCAGTAAAACCTATTCAACAAGAATGTTCGGACGATGAAAGCGATGAAGAGTTTGGAATTCCCAAGCCCCAAGACAAGACTATTGGTCAGCCAACTCCTCTTCTGAAAGAAGAACTTAAGCCTACTGTTTCAATTTCAAAAGTAGAAGAAAGCTCAACAACACTTCACTCTGAGAGCACTATTTTCAAATCAGTTGGTATAATTAAGCCATCAGATCCTTTCTCAAGTTTCCAAGGTGACAAAATTGGGGATAAATCTCCTTTTAAAGAAGGTGACAAACCGATGCCCATTGACGTTAAGGATGACAAACCCCCAACAAAACTGGACGACAAACCAAAGTCTCCTCTTGATTCAGTAAAACTTATTCAACAACAATACTCGGACGATGAAAGCGATGAAGAGTTTGGAATTCCGAAGCCCCAAGACAAGACTGTGGCTCAGCCAACTCCATCCACAGCTCCCTTTAGCGCCGTTAGTGAAAAATCTCCTCTAAAGGAAGCAGACAAACCGATGCCCATTGACGTTAAGGATGACAAAGCCCCAACTAAACTGGACGATAAACCAAAGTCTCCTCTTGATTCAGTAAAACCTATTCAACAAGAATATTCGGACGATGAAAGCGATGAAGAGTTTGGAATTCCCAGGCCCCAAGACAAGACTGTTGGTCAGCCAACTCCTTCAGTAGCTCCCTTTAGCGGCGTTGATGATAAATCTCTTCTGAAAGAAGAACTTAAGCCTACTGTTTCAATTTCAAAAGTAGAAGAAAGCTCAACAACACTTCACTCTGAGAGCACTATTTTCAAATCAGTTGGTATAATTAAGCCATCAGATCCTTTCTCAAGTTTCCAAGGTGACAAAATTGGGGATAAATCTCCTTTTAAAGAAGGTGACAAACCGATGCCCATTGACGTTAAGGATGACAAACCCCCAACAAAACTGGACGACAAACCAAAGTCTCCTCTTGATTCAGTAAAACTTATTCAACAACAATACTCGGACGATGAAAGCGATGAAGAGTTTGGAATTCCGAAGCCCCAAGACAAGACTGTGGCTCAGCCAACTCCATCCACAGCTCCCTTTAGCGCCGTTAGTGAAAAATCTCCTCTAAAGGAAGCAGACAAACCGATGCCCATTGACGTTAAGGATGACAAAGCCCCAATTAAACTGGACGATAAACCAAAGTCTCCTCTTGATTCAGTAAAACCTATTCAACAAGAATATTCGGACGATGAAAGCGATGAAGAGTTTGGAATTCCCAGGCCCCAAGACAAGACTGTTGGTCAGCCAACTCCTTCAGTAGCTCCCTTTAGCGGCGTTGATGATAAATCTCTTCTGAAAGAAGAACTTAAGCCTACTGTTTCAATTTCAAAAGTAGAAGAAAGCTCAACAACACTTCACTCTGAGAGCACTATTTTCAAATCAGTTGGTATAATTAAGCCATCAGATCCTTTCTCAAGTTTCCCAGGTGACAAAATTGGGGATAAATCTCCTTTTAAAGAAGGTGACAAACCGATGCCCATTGACGTTAAGGATGACAAACCCCCAACTAAACTGGACGACAAACCAAAGTCTCCTCTTGATTCAATAAAACCTATTCAACAACAATACTCGGACGATGAAAGCGATGAAGAGTTTGGAATTCCGAAGCCCCAAGACAAGACTGTGGCTCAGCCAACTCCATCCACAGCTCCCTTTAGCGCCGTTAGTGAAAAATCTCCTCTAAAGGAAGCAGACAAACCGATGCCCATTGACGTTAAGGATGACAAAGCCCCAACTAAACTGGACGATAAACCAAAGTCTCCTCTTGATTCAGTAAAACCTATTCAACAAGAATATTCGGACGATGAAAGCGATGAAAAGTTTGGAATTCCCAGGCCCCAAGACAAGACTCTTGGTCAGCCAACTCCATCCATAGCTCCCTTTAGCGCCGTTAGTGAAAAATCTCCATTAAAAGAAGCAGACAAACCGATACCCATTGACGTTAAGGATGACAAAGCCCCAACTAAACTGGACGATAAACCAAAGTCTCCTCTTGATTCAGTAAAACCTATTCAACAAGAATATTCGGACGATGAAAGCGATGAAGAGTTTGGAATTCCCAGGCCCCAAGACAAGACTGTTGGTCAGCCAACTCCATCCACAGCTCCCTTTAGCGCCGTTAGTGAAAAATCTCCTTTAAAAGAAGCAGACAAACCGATGCCCATTGACGTTAAGAATGACAAAGCCCCTACTAAACTGGACGACAAACCAAAGTCTCCTCTTGATTCAGTGAAACCTATTCAACAAGAATACTCGGACGATGAAAGCGATGAAGAGTTTGCAATTCCGAAGCCCCAAGACAAGACTGTTGGTCAGCCAACTCCATCCACAGCTCCCTTTAGCGCCGTTAGTGAAAAATCTCCTTTAAAAGAAGCAGACAAACCGATGCCCATTGACGTTAAGAATGACAAAGCCCCTACTAAACTGGACGACAAACCAAAGTCTCCTCTTGATTCAGTGAAACCTATTCAACAAGAATACTCGGACGATGAAAGCGATGAAGAGTTTGGAATTCCCAAGCCCCAAGACAAGACTCTTGGTCAGCCAACTCCATCCATAGCTCCCTTTAGCGCCGTTAGTAAAAAATCTCCATTAATAGAAGCAGACAAACCGATGCCCATTGACGTTAAGGATGACAAAGCCCCAACTAAACTGGACGATAAACCAAAGTCTCCTCTTGATTCAGTAAAACCTATTCAACAAGAATATTCGGACGATGAAAGCGATGAAGAGTTTGGAATTCCCAGGCCCCAAGACAAGACTGTTGGTCAGCCAACTCCTTCAGTAGCTCCCTTTAGCGGCATTGATGATAAATCTCTTCTGAAAGAAGAACTTAAGCCTACTGTTTCAATTTCAAAAGTAGAAGAAAACTCAACAACACTTCACTCTGAGAGCACTATTTTCAAATCAGTTGGTATAATTAAGCCATCAGATCCTTTCTCAAGTTTCCAAGGTGACAAAATTGGGGATAAATCTCCTCTTAAAGAAGCAGACAAACCGATGCCCATTGACGTTAAGGATGACAAAGCCCCTACTAAACTGGACGACAAACCAAAGTCTCCTCTTGATTCAGTAAAACTTATTCAACAAGAATACTCTGACGATGAAAGCGCTGAAGAGTTTGCAATTCCGAAGCCCCAAGACAAGACTGTTGGTCAGCCAACTCCATCCACAGCTCCCTTTAGCGCCGTTAGTGAAAAATCTCCTCTAAAGGAAGCAGATAAAACGATGCCCATTGACGTTAAGGATGACAAAGCCCCTACTAAACTGGACGACAAACCAAAATCACCGCTTGATTTAGTTAAACCTATTCAACAAGAATACTCGGACGATGAAAGCGATGAAGAGTTTGGAATTCCCAGGCCCCAAGACAAGACTGTTGGTCTGCCAACTCCTTCAGTAGCTCCCTTTGGCCGCGTTGATGATAAATCTCTTCTGAAAGAAGAACTTAAGCCTACTGTTTCAATTTCAAAAGTAGATGAAAGCTCAACAACACTTCACTACGAGAGCACTATTTTCAAATCAGTTGGTATAATTAAGCCATCAGATCCTGTCTCAAGTTTCCAAGGTCACAAAATTGGCAATAAATCTCCTCTTAAAGAAGCAGACAAACCGATGCCCATTGACGTTAAGGATGACAAAGCCCCTACTAAACTGGACGACAAACCAAAGTCTCATCTTGATTCAGTAAAACCTTTTCAACAAGAATATTCGGACGATGAAAGCGATGAAGAGTTTGCAATTCCGAAGCCCCAAGACAAGACTGTTGGTCAGCCAACTCCATCCACAGCTCCCTTTAGCGCCGTTAGTGAAAAATCTCCTCTAAAGGAAGCAGATAAAACGATGCCCATTGACGTTAAGGATGACAAAGCCCCTACTAAACTGGACGACAAACCAAAATCACCTCTTGATTTAGTTAAACCTATTCAACAAGAATACTCGGACGATGAAAGCGATGAAGAGATTGGAATTCCCAAGCCCCAAGATAAGACTTTTGGTCAGCCAACTCCCTCCGCAGATCCCTTTAGCCGCGTCGATGATAAATCTCTTCTGAAAGAAGAACCTAAGCCTACTGTTTCAATTTCAAAAGTAGAAGAAAACTCAACAACACTTCACTCCGAAAGCACTATTTTCAAATCAGTTGGTATAATTAAGCCATCAGATCCTTTCTCAAGTTTCCAAGGTGACCATATTGGGGATAAATCTCCTCTTAAAGAAGATGACAAACCGAAGCCCATTGACGATAAGGATGACAAAGCCCCTACTAAACAAGACGATAAATCAAAGTCACCTCTTGTATCAGTAAAACCTTTTCAACAAGAATATTCGGACTATGAAAGCGATGAAGAGTTTGGAATTCTCAAGCCCCAAGACATGACTGTTGGTCAGCCAACTCCATCCACAGCTCCCTTTAGCGCCGTTAGTGAAAAATCTCCTCTAAAGGAAGCAGACAAACCGAAGCCAATTGACGCTAAGTATGACAAAGCCCCAACCACACTAGCCGATAAATCAAAGTCACCTCTTGGATCAGAAAAACCTATTCAACAAGAAGACTCGGACGATGAAAGCGATGAAGAGTTTGGAATTCCCAAGCCCCAAGACATGACTGTTGGTCAGCCAACTCCATCCACAGCTCCCTTTAGCGCCGTTAGTGAAAAATCTCCCCTAAAGGAAGCAGACAAACCGAAGCCAATTGACGCTAAGTATGACAAAGCCCCAACCACACTAGCCGATAAATCAAAGTCACCTCTTGGATCAGAAAAACCTATTCAACAAGAAGACTCGGACGATGAAAGCGATGAAGAGTTTGGAATTCCCAGGCCCCAAGACAAGACTTTTGGTCAGCCAACTCCCTCCGCAGATCCCTTTAGCCGCGTCGATGATAAATCTCTTCTGAAAGAAGAACTTAAGCCTACTGTTTCAATTTCAAAAGTAGAAGAAAACTCAACAACACTTCACTCCGAAAGCACTATTTTCAAATCAGTTGGTATAATTAAGCCATCAGATCCTGTCTCAAGTTTCCCAGGTGACAAAATTGGGGATAAATCTCCTCTTAAAGAAAATGACAAACCGAAGCCCATTGACGATAAGGATGACAAAGCCCCTACTAAACAAGACGATAAACCAAAGTCTCCTCTTGTATCAGTAAAACCTATTCAACAAGAATACTCCGACGATAAAACCGATGAAGAGTTTCGAATTCCCAAGCCCCAAGACAAGACTTTTGGTCAGCCAACTCCATCCGCAGCTCCTGTTAGCGCCGTTAGTGAAAAATCTCCTCTAAAAGAAGCAGACAAACCGAAGCCAATTGACATTAAAGATGATAAAGCCCCAACCACACTAGCCGATAAATCAAAGCCACCTCTTGGATCAGAAAAACCTATTCAACAAGAATACTCGGACGATGAAAGCGATGAAGAGTTTGGAATTCCCAAGCCCCAAGACATGACTGTTGGTCAGCCAACTCCATCCACAGCTCCCTTTAGCGCCGTTAGTGAAAAATCTCCTCTAAAGGAAGCAGACAAACCGAAGCCAATTGACGCTAAGTATGACAAAGCCCCTACTAAACTGGACGACAAACCAAAGTCTCCTCTTGATTCAGTAAAACCAATTCAACAAGAATATTCGGACGATGAAAGCGATGAAGAGTTTGGAATTCCCAAGCCCCAAGACAAGACTGTTGGTCAGCCAACTCCTTCAGTAGCTCCCTTTAGCGGCGTTGATGATAAATCTCTTCTGAAAGAAGAACTTAAGCCTACTGTTTTAATTTCAAAAGTAGAAGAAAGCTCAACAGCACTTCACTCCGAGAGCACTATTTTCAAATCAGTTGGTATAATTAAGCCATCAGATCCTTTCTCAAGTTTCCAAGGTGACCATATTGGAGATAAATCTCCTCTTAAAGAAGATGACAAACCGAAGCCCATTGACGATAAGGATGACAAAGCCCCTACTAAACAAGACGATAAATCAAAGTCACCTCTTGATTTAGTTAAACCTATTCAACAAGAATACTCGGACGATGAAAGCGATGAAGAGTTTGGAATTCCCAAGCCCCATGACAAAACAGTTGGTCAGCCAACTCCATCAGTAGCTCCTGTTAGCGCCATTAGTGAAAAATCTCCTCTAAAGGAAGCAGACAAACCGAAGCCAATTGACGCTAATTATGACAAAGCCCCTACTAAACTGGACGACAAACCAAAGTCTCCTCTTGGATCAGTAAAACCTATTCAACAAGAATACTCGGACGATGAAAGCGATGAAGAGTTTGGAATTCCCAAGCCCCAAGACAAGATTTTTGGTCAGCCAACTCCATCCGCAGATCCCTTTAGCCGCGTTGATGATAAATCTCTTCTGAAAGAAGAACTTAAGCCTACTGTTTCAATTTCAAAAGTAGAAGAAAGCTCAACAACACTTCACTCTGAGAGCACTATTTTCAAATCAGTTGGTATAATTAAGCCATCAGATCCTTTCTCAAGTTTCCAAGGTGACAAAATTGGGGATAAATCTCCTCTTAAAGAAGCAGACAAACCGATGCCCATTGACGTTAAGGATGACAAAGCCCCTACTAAACTGGACGACAAACCAAAGTCTCCTCTTGATTCAGTAAAACTTATTCAACAAGAATACTCTGACGATGAAAGCGCTGAAGAGTTTGCAATTCCGAAGCCCCAAGACAAGACTGTTGGTCAGCCAACTCCATCCTCAGCTCTCTTTAGCGCCGTTAGTGAAAAATCTCCTTTAAAAGAAGCAGACAAGCCGATGCCCATTGACGTTAAAGATGACAAAGCCCCTACTAAACTGGACGACAAACCAAAGTCTCCTCTTGATTCAGTAAAACTTATTCAACAAGAATACTCGGACGATGAAAGCGATGAAGAGTTTGGAATTCCCAAGCCCCATGACAAGACAGTTGGTCAGCCAACTCCATCAGTAGCTCCTGTTAGCGCCATTAGTGAAAAAACTCCTCTAAAAGAAGCAGAGAAACCGATGCCCATTGACGTTAAGGATGACGAAGCCCCTACCAAACTCGACGACAAACTAAAATCTCCTCTTGATTTAGTTAAACCTATTCAACAAGAATACTCGGACGATGAAAGCGATGAAGAGTTTGGAATTCCCAAGCCCCAAGACAAGGCAGTTGGTCAGCCAACTCCTTCAGTAGCTCCCTTTAGCGGCGTTGATGATAAATCTCTTCTGAAAGAAGAACTTAAGCCTACTGTTTTAATTTCAAAAGTAGAAGAAAGCTCAACAACACTTCACTCCGAAAGCACTATTTTCAAATCAGTTGATATAATTAAGCCATCAGATCCTGTCTCAAGTTTCCAAGGTGACAAAATTGGGGATAAATCTCCTCTGAAAGAAGATGACAAACCGATGCCCATTGACGTTAAGGATGTCAAAGCCCCTACTAAACTGGACGACAAACCAAAGTCTCATCTTGATTCAGTAAAACCCTTTCAACAAGAATATTCGGACGATGAAAGCGATGAAGAGTTTGGAATTCCCAAGCCCCAAGACATGACTGTTGGTCAGCCAACTCCATCCACAGCTCCCTTTAGCGCCGTTAGTGAAAAATCTCCTCTAAAGGAAGCAGACAAACCGAAGCCCATTGACGTTAAGGATGACAAAGCCCCTAGTAAACCGGACGATAAACCAAAATCACCTCTTGATTTAGTTAAACCTATTCAACAAGAATACTCGGACGATGAAAGCGATGAAGAGTTTGGAATTCCCAAGCCCCATGACAAGACAGTTGGTCAGCCAACTCCATCAGTAGCTCCTGTTAGCGCCATTAGTGAAAAAACTCCTCTAAAAGAAGCAGAGAAACCGATGCCATTGACGTTAAGGATGACAAAGCCCCTACCAAACTCGACGACAAACTAAAATCTCCTCTTGATTTAGTTAAACCTATTCAACAAGAATACTCGGACGATGAAAGCGATGAAGAGTTTGGAATTCCCAAGCCCCAAGACAAGGCAGTTGGTCAGCCAACTCCATCAGTAGCTCCTGTTAGCGCCGTTAGTGAAAAATCTTCTCTAAAGGAAGCAGACAAACCGAAGCCAATTGACGTTAAGGATGACAAAGCCCCCATTAAACTGGACGATAAACCAAAATCACCTCCTGATTCAATAAAACCTATTCAACAAGAATACTCGGACGATGAAAGCGATGAAGAGTTTAGAATTACCAAGCCCCAAGACAAGACTGTTGCTCAGCCAACTCCATCTGTAGCTCCTTTTACCGCAGTTGTTGATAAGTCCCCTCTGAAGGAGGAGGAAAAGCCGAAGCCAATTGAAGAAAAAGATAATGATTTGGGTTCAGAAATGTCTATTCAAAAAGAATACTCGGTCGCGCCCCCTGATCAGTCAACCGCTTTACCTCCTGTTAGTTCAACTGAACATAATTTTAAAATTATTGAAACTGGTTCAGAAAAAGATTTGAGTACAAGTTCCAAAATAAGTTTACTGTCTAATTTTGAAGAAAATAGGTCAGTTCAACAGATTGTAGAAGATACTATTCGAGCAGGTGATGCTGAAGTTCAAAAAATTGTGGACGAAACACTTAAAAATGCTCAGCATTTAAGAAACTTTAACAATGTCAAAGGTCAGATTTTGGACGAAGATGAGCGTTCAGTTGAGCAAATAGTCGAAGAAACACTACAAAGTGCAAAGTTGAAGGCTGATATTTCTAGGGAAGAGGAAAAAGTTCCGATGGTAAACGAAGCAGAAGCAAAAGAAGTTCGTCCCATTGCATATTTTGTAAATTTGGAAAATGAACAGAAGTCGCCTACTGTAAAAAAAGTAGTTAAAAAAGAAAAGACAGCGACTAAAGCAGATACAGGGAAAACAGTTAAGGAAATAAGTACAAAAGCCACAGTTCAGAGTACCATTAGTAAAAGACCAGTTGGAGTTAAAGTAAAGTCTAAAGCCGATTTAAAAGCCCCTCCTGTTTCGCAAACTAAGGAAAAAACTCCGGTTAGCAAGCAAACCAAAATTAAAAAATCACTAGCAACAGAAAAAGCAAAAATTTCAACTAAATCCGAGTCAAGACGCTCCGTTACTAGTTCAACTTCAACCACCACTAGTTCGGCTTCCGCTACGAGCCGTGTTATAAGCGAATTGCATTTCGAGAGGTCTGCCAGCCCAGCGTCGAGTTCCATTTTCTACGAAAGCCATCCGCAAGCCGATAGCCGCTCCACAACACCCAGACCTAGGGTTAAGACTGACGTCACACGAATACCCTACAATGCTTCAGTTCGTTCATATAGCCCCCAGCCCAAAACCAACAGGTCAGAAAAAACAACCGTGAAACAAACGAAGACAACTGCCACTCGATCTACCAAAGAGCTTACAGCAAGGATTTCAAAGAAGACTGAACGATTCGGTATCCAAGAACAAGTGCAGGCCAAGCGAAGTAAGACTCCGACACCGATTGCTGCCCACAGATACATGCAGCCCACCCTGGCCCACAACATGCGATTCGGATTGAGTGGCGATGGAGAGACTGGTCAGAGTGTCTCTCCGGCACCAGGACCTCTTAAGTCACCCGCACCACCAAAATCGCCAGCTCCGGCCCTAACTAGAAGTACTCAACGAACACATTTAAAAACAAGTGCCTTGACAAAGTCCTCATCCCTGGAAACGAAACAAAAGAAGGCGGTCCCTGAAAAGACCCCAACACAATCCCGTTCCCTGATTAAGAGAGGTTCGCAGAGTGATAGCAAAGAGTCCCTGAAGAGCACTGACCGCCTATACAAACGACAGACATCTAAAGAAAATAAACTAGCAAACGTGATAGGCTCTAAGAGCCAAGCAACTAAAAGCATGAAGACACAATCAGCGACTGCAGCAAAGACACTTGCATACAGAACTTCCATAGAATCCGACAACAAGCTTCAGATGAAGACCACAGCCACTATACAGCGCACCAAAGTTCCGATTAGCGTTTCTTCCAGTGCAAGGACTGCAGCTAAGCTAAGCAAGAGTGATGACGCCGAAAAGAGACCTCAGATAGACAATAAGAAGACAGTTAGGCGAGTGGCAACCAAGACAAGCGAAATACCAAGCACCTCCGCCACCAAATCCATGCCGGGCTCCATGGAGCCTAAGATGCAGAAGAAGATGAAGGACACAATGAACGAGTCCAATTCAAACTCGGGCAGTGGAAGCACCAGTGCCAGCGGCTCCTCGAACAGCACGCGCCGCAGCGTGCGATCCGTTAGCACCGTCAGCCGTAAGACGGACAAGGACCTAACCAACATCCGGAGGGCAGCGGGAGCTGTCGTGTCGACATCAACAGTGCGGGCGCATCGGGAACCGACGGCCACCACCGGCGCTGTTAGCACCGTGCTCGTTGATGACGACTGTGAGGTGATAACCATACGATCCATTAAATCAAGCGATAGTACAAAAAGTTCTACCTCATCATCCTCCGGTAGCGGCAGCAACAGTCGCAAGGTGCTAACCAGCGAGGTATTCACTAAGACCTTCGGCCCCGACAGGCCGCTCGAAGTGGTCTACCGCCAGCCCGAGTTCGATGTAGAACACCACACCATCATGTCAGTCCGTCCGCCTTCCAACAACAGCGGCGAGCAGCAGCGGTGCATTAACGAGTTCGATGTCAGCTTCATCGACACCACAGACTCCAGTCTCTCGGACTCTGTTGCCCTGCCCATGTTTGGCCCTAGTGATCCGGAGCGCCTGCTGGCCGCAAGTCCCGGATCACCAAAGCCGACTCGCAGTCCCCTGGCCCTGATCGAGGAGACCTGCGGCGCCAGCAACAGCACCACCATCATCATCAACACCACCACCACAGTAGTATTATCGTGGCCGGTGCTGCTGCCCTTGACCCAACTCTATCAATTCAAGGGGCTTTACCAGAAAGTCAACGGGAGGCGGCGGTGACTGTGGTGACTGCGGAGGTGGAGGTGGAGAAGAGCACTACTTTAAAAGGTAAATATGGTAGATATAATAAAGAGATATATATTTTAGGTATACAGCACATTGATAATTAAGATTAGCTTAGCTACGATACCCATCATAATTAGGGCATAGTTAACGAACGCAACTTTTCTAATTGATATGCTTATATGTATGAAATGCTTTTACTTAACCCATTTTTAACTTATTCTCCACAAATAGCAAAAACAAATAACTAAAGTCGTGAAACCCAAGCCATAATAAATACTACACTACTACAAAAACCCACCAAGCTAAGTAACCAAAAATGTCTAAAAAACTCCCAACTATATCTGTAACTGCCGATAAGCGTTCTACGCATTCCGATTTATCATCGTCCTCATCGTCATCCCACGACACCGATAGCAATGACATGGACTATGGGCGCGATGGCGCCGGGGGCGTGACCGACGTTGAAGATTTCGACAGCCAGGCAGAGGCTCTGAAGCCCAGCCCGCGGCGAGGCTCTGCATCCAAGTCGTCCCTGAAACCCAAATTCCAACCAAAACCTAATACAGGCGAACCCGACGTCACCGATGTGGAGGACTACGACACAGAATCGGACGAGGATGAGAAGAGCACAGCATATCCAGAATTAAAGATGTCCCTTCGAGAGTTCCTCCAGCAGGGTCTGCAGAACCAGGAAGCCGTAGATAATGATGCAAAAGAGAGCTGCGAGATAAAAGCCGGTGACTTCTTGCAAGCACAAAACCTGAATGGCATGGCCGATTATCTAACTGATTGCGAAGACTATGATACCGACTCTGAAGTAGGATTTGGCTGCGAGAAATCCGTGTGCGTGGACCTGGATCAAGCGGTGGGCGATCAAGGACGAGTCGCCATTGCTGATGGCGAGAAGAACCAAGACGATTCCGACCAGTATGAAGATGTCTCCGTAATTAGTGACATTAGTGACCTGGCCTCAGCCATGTCCGATTGCACTGGCATCGGAGTGCGCGGTGCGTCTGAAGACGAGGTTCTAGAGGTATCCGATAGTGGTCGCGAAGAAGTGTGCCAAATTGCCTGTTCGGGCACTGAGTCAGAGTCGGAGGGCGCGGCAGCCTGGAGTCGAAGTGCAAGTGAGACTAGTTTTCCACCCATTGATGTGGCCTTTGTAAGTGCCAGCGGACAACCTCGTCGGAATTCCAAGTCCAGTATGCCCATGCCAGGACAGAAGCAATTTTTACTGGCGGCAGCAAAAAACGAAGAGGTTTTGACCGATGTCGAAGGCATTGATGATTCTGCAGCAGAAGATAGCTTTGACAATGAGGAGGAAGATGAGGAACCCATACCCCGAGCCATCATTCTGGCCTCTGGCGATGACGGCACCTGTCTGACCGATGTGGAGGACATGTTTTGTGAGGACAATTCGTTGGCCAGCACAGTTCCTGAAGCGCGTTCAGTATCCCACGAAGTGCTGCCGCTGCCACACCGCGAGGTGGTAGAACTGAAGGAGGACAAGAACGGTGACACTATAACCAATGTAATGCCTATGGACTGCAACTATGAGTTTGGCATTTACAATCATCTAAAGGACACCATTCACACCGACTCGGAGGATTATTCTTGTGCCGATGACTGGAGTCTTCAGCACTCAATTGCCGAATATTCTGCAGCAGGAGGGTCCCATCTAATCGAAAACGAGGTGATCGTATCCAATGAACTCTTGAAGCAGCAGCAAAACAAACGCTTGGAGGTGCAGAGCAACGCCGAGTCCGTCACAGATGTGGAGGAGATCTTTGTGGCCGGTACAAACAGGCGTAAAAAGTTGAAGACCCGCACTCTGAGCAAAGGAAAGAACAAGCTGCTGGACGTTGTCAAAGGCAAAGAAGATGGAGTGACCGATGTTGAGGACATGGACCTGAGTGAATGCGGTCTACCTCCAGGATTGAAACGGGTGGAGCAACTTAAGCTACAGGCTAAGGGATCGAATGCAGACAAGGTAACTGACGCCGAGGACGTATCCACCGATGATGTGTCCGACATCTCTGACGCCTCCGATATCCCACCGCCATCATCGGTTGACAAGTCGGGAAGCAAGACAAAACTACAGCCGCTTCAGTTGCGTCTGCTTAAGGACGATATTGTCAATCAACAGCTCACGGACGTGGAGGACGTTCAGCTACCGTCGGAGGCGGAGGACGCACTGGAACCACCGGCCATTCCAGTGGCCAATAGCAATAGTAAGGAACTCAACGATATGTTGAACGAGAGCTACACGGTGGTGCATGAGAGGACTGGTCGCAGCTTCAACAGCGAGGCCGAGAAGCTGCATATAAAGGGCGTAATCCGAGATGCCCATACCGACGTTGAGTATGTTGAGTCCGACGAGTCAGCCGCTAGGGGTGGCAACTAGCCTGCCCCTTTCCGTGTCCTCAACCAATCCGATCCGATCCGAATCGGTCGCAAGCTGTTGCCAAAAGAAATCTCAACAATAGTTCATAAGTGTTCATAGATACGAAAATCCCAACACACACACTAAAGCATTTTGTAAGTAAAGCCAACAATTACCAAAACATTTTCGTTCAAGTTCTTGCCACAATCAAAAAGCAGCAAAAAGCCTTAAATCTACTCGCATCGATCCCATAAGTCTAACCCCTGTGCCAGTGCCATACTAACAGTTTTCTAACCGTCACCTAGGCGTCGTTCTACTAACATTCACACTCTATTGTTGATCCTAACAGAATTGTTATTTGAAAATTTCATTTTGTTTGTCCTTTGTTCGATTGTCTGTAAATCATTCATTATCATTTCGTTTGTAGAGTATTATAATGTAGCCCTAGGTCACTTTTGTGTTCTTTTTATACATCCGTAGAATGTCTCTAATCTTTGGCTTGTTTATTGCAGAAAACCTTCAGGAAAAAAAAGTTGACCTATCCACTCTGGATACCGTAAAGATCTCAAAAGAAATTGGTAAGTCCCTGACAAAATTCACAGCTTCTAAAAGTCAGCTTTTCATTGTGCTCGTAACTCATAATGCTTCATATTAGTGTGCCAAATTTATATGTATATCGTATTAGTTTCAAAATGCAATTAAAGCTCATCGAGAAAATAATTTTAAGCAGCATTAATTTTTAAATAAACTCAGCTCAATATGACAGAGAACTCGCTCACATCACCAACCAATCTCACCGCCACCAGCCATCACACATTTATTGCACATTCTTCTCGCCTTTCGAATTCATCGCTTCCCTTTTCATGATTTCCAAGCTTGATCTGCTCTTCACTCTCTGTTTCAATCTGTCCAATTTCTATCTACCATTGAACTGTGCAATTGTCTTCCAGGTGATGTTAAAGTTGGTGGTGGTGATGATGATGATAATGGCGAAGGCGAAGATCTTGTGGCGCGCATTCGCGAGGAAGCCAATATCCTGGTGGATCGCGTGCTCGAAGAGAGTGTCGAGATCATCGAGAGCCATGGCCATCAGGCCAATGGCCACGAGATCATTAAGCTGGACTATAACTCAGAAAGTGAGAATTATGCCATCACATGCGATGATATTGGCGGCGTCGATGTCATCAAATCGCCCACCATTGAGTCCATGTCGGGCAAGTCGTTCGACGACAATATGAGCTTCACCGACGAGCACATACATTTACCCTTGCATGCCCAGAACACGACCACCACCACGACAACGACAGTAACCACTCAATTCCAACAGCAGCAGTCCCAGGCCATTTCCCAGGCGATTCCCCAGACTGCTGCCATAAGCTCATCGGCGGCAAAAGGTAACATACCACCATACCATAGAGTCAAGCTTCGAGGTAGTCCTACGATACTTAGCAGTTAGGATCGTATCCGGCAAATAGTATTCCATAGTGTGTTGTCCGTTGGCTATAATCACTCTCCTGTATCGTTTGCTTGTTTGCTCCATTCCTGTGTCATGCTCCATTCAGAACCCGTTCCTGTTCCCGAATCTGTAACCGTACCTCCTCCCGTACCAGTAGTGTATAATCGAGATCAGGCCGAAGACATGAGCGAAACTCGAGCGAGGCGCATTGATCGTAAGATCGAGAAACTATCAACAGACATGGATGACGTGAGCGCCAAATTCGATGAGGCGTTCGAGGCAGCGGTGCCTGAGGACGAGATCAGTGCCCTGCAGGGTGACTTCTCCAAGCTCAGCTGGGATGACAGCGTGTCGCCCACGACCAACACAATGGCCGATATGGCCCAGAACCAGATAACGCCCGATAATGATATTCAAGATCTCATCGCAGGTACCTGATAAGCAAAATCGAAGCTCCTAAATTTAAGCTATAATTTCATATTCCTTTGCCCATTATGATGCCGTCGATAGAGCATAAAGACTCACTCTAGACTTATGTGCAGTGTTCAGTTTGGCTTACATTATCCCCAGATGGCGGCCAATAAAGACTTTTCGTTCAAGTTGAGCTCTAATTGCATTTAAACTTATTAATTCCGTTTGTATTCATATTAACTCATATAAAATATGCATGCCATCCTCTATCTACCTATCTTACTATATCTCTTTAAAGTATCTTTCCAATGCTAACCATGTACTCGAATGCATCTGTCGTCATCTATACTTGTACCTATACTGTTTTCCTTTTTTTGTTCTGTTTAAGTTTCCGTTTCCTGTCTCTATCCTATAACCGTATGATTGTGTTTACTCTTCCTCATCTTCTGTTCTCGACTTTCACAACACTTTTAAAATTGCTTTCGTTTTCACACCTATTGTTTTGTAGAAACAGGCGGCGATTTACCGATCTCAAGTGAAACCGAAACCACTCCCGTACCACCGTCGGCTGCTGTGGCCAGCTCCACAGCGAAAAAGACAGAAACTGAAAGCAAAACCGAAACTGAGCCGGCGGTAGAAACCAATACATTCACTACCACCAGCCTCGACACACCCACACCAAAACCACGAGTTCTCAAAGCAAGCTCCCCACTCTCCGAAGGCACCGATAGCACAACCATCCCTGGCCCAGTGTCCAGACCTGAAATACCGATCGATATTATTTTGATGCCGCACCGGTTCCAAAGCCACGTGCTCCCATCAAGCACACGGAGCCGTTCGAGAACCTGGCCGCTCTAGCTGAGCAGTCCGATAGCATTAGTCTCCGGAGTTTTGACTTCACCGAGGAGCTGTCCAAGACGGATGAACCGTCCACAGAGCTCTCATTCGTTCTCAGCTGCGTGACATTGTCACAACCACGACCACTGCCTCGAGGATCATACCGAAAGCTTTGATCCAACAAGTGAGATTTCAGTAGATGATGCTGATACCGAAAAATCAGAGGGCGCTGAGAAGACCACTAGCTTTTACATTGGGGAGTCCAGTCGAAATGTTATCATAAAGACATCGACAAGGTCGGCAAGTGTAACGCCCCAAGAAGAAGAGGCCGCCACGGATATAGGCATCGATGCCAAGGATATTTCATTAATGAAGGAAGTATCCGTGGACTCCGATGAGGCCAATGATGTTTTCAAGGAATATGTGACAATGAAGGCCGACGATGCTGCAGCACTGAATAGCAAAATCGAAAGGCAAGGCTCGGAAACTAGAAATGATTTGCTCGAGTTTGAGAATGCCGATAAAGACAAGTCTGGCGAACCTAAACTGTCCAAGGTAACCACCGAAGAAAGTTTGACCACATCCACCGGATCCAGTGGCCGAGCCATTTTAGAAGTTGCCCCATCAAGCAGTGAAGATCCAGATGAGTCAAGTAAAGAAATCCCTGAGATTGTGAATACCATCTCAGAGAAAGTTGCATCCACTGAACATTTCGAATTGCCTTTGGAAAAAAGTGAGTGGGAAACGTCGGAGAAGGTAATACCAACTGAGGGAAAGCCAAAAGTAGTTCACTCACCTCAGCAGCCATCGGCCAGCAGCGTTAAGAGTGTTATCGATGAATCTTTAGTAGGGGAAACTCTTGCAGAAGTGCAAGAATCTCAGGAAGGGAAGTGGAACTTAAGAGCATGGTTGAGAAGCGAGATCTAATAGAGGAACTACCAGCGAGTTTGGGCTCACTGAATCCACTGCGGAGACCGACGATATATCTTCTTTCATAGGTATTCCCGATGCTAGCATGCACACTTCCACCTTAGAGAGCACACTGCCTCCGGAAGGCCTTTTTGATACCACTATCAAGGAGACTCTGAACAAGCAAGCGGCGATGGCTCACTATGCTCAGGATGTGTTTGGTAGAGCAGAGAGGCGAGATGATCATGGCTCTCTGGGCTTTATATCAACAGGAACGGCTGAAGAGTTGAGCTCCATGGAAGACACATGGCCAAGGAGGAACAGGCCTCGTTAGGTTTTATCTCAACAGAGACCGCCGAGGACTTTAGCTCAATGGAAGATTACTATACGGAGAAACTGCCTCAGCAAGTGTTGTTGCAGAGGAAATGGCTGCAGATAAATCGATAACCACCAGCACTTTTGAGGAACTCACCTCAGATCAGTCTATTAAGCCAGTCGATGTCGTGTTCACCGTTTAAAGAACGAATCATCGCCGGATTCTATAAATCGCTGGTCAATCCCCGATGTGGACAACTCCAGCTCTAGCGAGAGCTTCCACAAGAGCTTCGATAAGACACAGAGCCGACCGCTTTCCTCTGACATGGATAACCTTTTAACTGCCACTGGAACCGGCACAGGCACTTCTAGTGATTACCAGACCGCTCGGGAGTTCACCTCGACCTATCGCACCGATGGCACAGAGTACGTTAGTGCAGTCAGCACCTTAGGCAGCAGCAGCTTGGATTCTCAGTCCGAGACATCGGCCAACTTGGCCAGCATTGATGTGTCGAGCTATCGGAGACTCTGGTGGCCTCCTCCGCGGAGGTGGATGTTTTCGAGGCCGAAGAGATGTCACGACTGCGTGATTTACGTGCCGACGATGAGGACAGCGATGAGAGCATGGAGTTGCCAGAGCCGCTTATCCAACTTCCGAACAACAAAGTCTTATGAAGCGCTCCCAGGAAATGATTTTCAAACCAAAGACAGAGGTGGAGGAACATCAGCCTGCTGTGGAGGCAGTGAAAATAGAGGAATATCCCAAGCCCAAGGAGGCGGAACGTACCTGGGGCCTAGCATACCCCTTGGAGGACAACAAGGCCGACAGCCCAAAAGACAGCGAAAAGGGCGAGGACATTCTGTTGTACCACGGTGATCCGCGACGGTCAATTGACGAGTCCAAATTAGCCTCAAGCTTAGACGAGGGCAGCATCCTTTCCGTGAGCATGTCGAGCACATCCAACATTGACACCGTTGTGGAGAACTTTGATGATATAATTGGATCAGCGGATCCTCTTCGCTGACCGGCATCGAAGGCTTCCAGTATGGACATGATGAGCCCATGCCATCTGCCTCTGTGCCAGAGGACGCCACATTCATGTTGGAGATGGAAAGCAAGGAGCACTCGCCACAGGACTCCAATGCTAGTACACCACCAGGTGGAGAATCAAAGCGGCGTGGCCATAAGCGCAACGAGAGTATTTCCGGTGACGCCTTAAAGAACCTGGACAAAGAGGTGGCCCTCCTAGGAGAGGGAAAAGAATCGGAGAGCGAGTCGGATACGGATCCGTACGAGTCGGAATATGCCAGGCAATTCCGTTCTCCCAAAGAGCGAAAAAATAAAAAGAAAAAGCAGGCAGCAGCTGAAATGGATCACAGTGCCGAGCTGGAGAAGCGTCCGTTCACTCCCTCCCACTGGTGGCTGAGGTAATCGTGGAGGATGACACAGAGGAGCAGGAGGCGGAAGCTGCCATGATTGAGGAGCGCCGCCCCTCGCAGAACATGCAGGATTACTCAAATATTCCCGACATTATGGTCACAGAGGACATCAAGTCGCCAATTCTAGAGGAGGAGGCCGATGAATTTCCCGAGAAAACTCCCTTGTACAAGGTGCGCACCGAGGAGGAGCTGCACAAGGCCAGCGATGCCTCTGTCTATCAGAAGGAGAAAGCCGAAGAGAAGGAACAGGATTTCCAAAGACGAGTGCAGGAACAATACCGTCAGAAACTCGAGGAACTGAAGCGTGCCGAGGTCGGGGCAGAGTATGATGATCGCAGGGCTCCCGACTCGCCGGACTCTTTTGAAATGGTCGAACAGCCCGATATTTCAGACGAGTTTGTGATTATCGAAGAGGTGGCCAAAGAGGCCAATGAAGTGGATCTCGGTGGAAAGAGCATAAAGATAAAGCCAATCAAGTATGAGCAAAAGCATGACGAGGACGTTGAAAAGATCATTATCAAGTCCGCTCCAGCGGATCCCAAGCTCGGCTCCCAGCTCTACAAGGATGATCTGAATTTCGAGTTTGAAGAGAGCCCACCAACGGCGGCCAGTAGTAGCAGCGAACAGCAGGAAGAGAGTGATTCCAGTGACACTGCTGCCGCCAACAAGCGCTGGGTGGAGATGCAGCTGACGGACAACCAGCTGCGTTATCCATACGACCTGGCTGGCGCCGTGCTAGAAGACATTAAGGAGGAAGACGGCGAGTTTGAAGTGGGCAGCAGTCGCATCAGCAGCTTCAAGGACTCCTTTTCGAGCACACCCGAGTATGATATGGCAGCTCGTCGTTACCACTCCCGAGGCGAGCATGATGACGTGTCGATGAGTAGTCTGCAAGAGTTTGAATCGCTAGAGCAGGCCATTTCCCTGGAGAATCGAAACCGAACCCACCAGGGCTCCACGGACTCCAGCAACGGCAGCTTTACCCGCCGCTATGTGGTTCGTCACAGTGGCAGTGGAACGGCCCCGGGCGATGATGTGTCCGTTTCCAGCTTAAAGGATTTCGAAGGTCTGGAGAATGCTTGCATCGAAGCCCATCTGATCGAGACCAAGGCCAGGGAGGAAGCAGCCTTGCTGTCGCGTTCCGATGAATCGAACAAATCGAATGGCAGCGACAAGGGAGCCGCCGGCGGTAATGTTGTGGTGACCAAGGTGACCCGCACAGTAACACGTACCGAAGTGGTTCCTTCCAGTCAGGCGGAGAACATCGAAGCCCTTCTCAAGCAGAAGCTGGAACGGGAGGAAGCAAAGCTGGGATCCACTTCAGTAAAACTCACAGACATTAGCAGCACTGATCTGGAGCCCAAGTCCAAGATCGAAGCCAGGACTCTGAGAAGGATAGTATAGACAGCATGGAGATCAGTAAAAGCCACGACATGATGACCAGCAGCATAGAGAGCTTTGACATCTCTAAGGATGCCACAACGCGATCTGACATTGATTCTCTGGAGATTGACAAGCGCCATTCGCGGCAGGAGAGCATAGAATCCTTCGGGGATGAGCAACTGGACCTAATGACCAAGTTCGTCAGCGGCGGAGGAGGAGTGACCTTGGGTGATGGTCTGACCACCACCACGACAACAACGACCACCAGCACAGATGCCGATGGGCATGAGCATACAGTAACGCGGGTGATAACCACCACGACATCAGTGGGCGGTGGAATTCAAGAGCTGCCGCTGGATGAGAGCGGAATGTCTAAGGATGTATCGGTGGACTCGCTGAATCTGTGCGTGGAGCAAACAACAAGTTCGGCTGGAACCACGGCCACGTATCAGACCAGCGCCGGCAACTCACAGATGTCCGGAAGCGTGACCAGCTGTGCATCGAGCACGCTCATGGAGGATTCGTTCCCTGGTGTGGGTGGCATGTCGTCGTCACAAATGTCGGCCAGTTTCTGGTCGCATGATGAGTCCACGGTGGTCGAGGATGAGGGCCACGACACAGCCGCCAAGAAGCAGCAGCAGGGCCATTAGACGCCGGATGCAAGTGAGGGAGAAGATATGGGAGAGTCCCGCGAAATCCTATATAAAAATGGGGCAATGAACGGTGGCATAGAAAATTCGGCTAGGTAAGCATCCCCCCCACACGGCAAGGCTGCGCGGCTTTTCGTTTTACTTTTGTTTTGTGTCTTTACTTGGCCTTCGACTAGAAGCAGAGCTCAACTTTGACAGAGAAAAGTAATACCCGCCGCCCCACTTCGACCCAATTAGCCATCTAAACGCGATTTTTCCCACTTTTCTCTTCTTTCAGACAAGGCGCTCTTCTAGACGCATCATCACTGGCCTTTAAGACGGAATCTCTAGATGGGAAACGCAATTTCACCGGCTCTAAACATCACCGATTTCAAATCGAACAGCGAAAGGGATTAATTAATTAGCAAATTTGACATTTTCCATCACAACACACATTTTTAACGATACTGAAGTGCATAAACAAGATACACGAGTTTTTAAAGGGAAATATATATATTTTATATATTTATAAAAACTATAAAACGGCAAACATGAATACGAATATGAATATATGGCAAGCTTAGCCGTTCAACGCATTTTCTTATTGGCTTTAATGTTTGAAAATTACGTAAAATGATGAAAGAAACAAAAACAATATACGTTTTGTGCTAGAGCGTTGTAATGGAATACACCTTTGCTTTTAATTTGATGTAGTTATTATATATGTACATGTACGAAGGAAACTTATTATTAAATAAATCGCTTATTATTGTAGTTTAATTTAAGCAATTATACAAGTGCATGTGGACAAGGGGACGTAATGAAATAGAAGAAGCCTGGAAAGTGAAATGCTTTTAAAGTCTCATTTTTTTACAAGAACCAAGCAAATTTTATACGCTTGCATATTTTAACAGTGAAATATACATAAATATACAATCTGAAGAGTAATGCATAGATCAAATTTAAAAACATATACAGACAAGATATTAAATTTACTCACATAGAACAACCAGCCATCAAGTGTATCGCTAATTTTCGTAATGCACATCTTGCGTGAACGAGTGTTCGTCAGAAACCTTCTTCTTGAAAGGATTTAAGCGTTTAGCATCACCTCTGTAATGGGATATGAATAAAATAATATTTGTGTTAAAAACATACAAGAAATAAATAATAACATTATTGTATTGTAAACCACACGCGTATAATAACCAAATAAAATGCTTAATAAAAAATCTGTGTTTGGATTTTCTTTTCGCCTTTTGGATTAAGGGTTCTGCGGATTTTCTTAACCAGTCTTAAATAGAAAAATAATCACAAACTTTCTGATTTGGGCCGCTTTTCCCATTTAAGGTAACAATGTTACTGGAAAGAAAGTTGGTGATGCCAAAAAATGTCGGCAGTAACTAATACATATACAAAGATTAAAAAATCTGAGTTATAATCTGAGTCTTGTCTCGTAGAAAATTGTTCAGATAGATACGATTAAAAAAACAAGGAGTTATGTACCTATTAAAAAATAAATAATATAAATATAAATAATTTTGCCTTATTAAATTATTAATTTATTTTATTTTTTTCAATTTATTATTCAAATATCAAAAATTTAGTTATTATTTTTATTAGAAAAGCATTTAAATAACTGAATATTTATTAGGCATATTAATATTATGAACATAAACACCATTTTCGCAAAATAAATACGAGGAATTCGAATAAAAATTGAATTAATTTTCCACTCACCTATTTTCTTAGTTCAATTTTTGTCTTCTTGTTAAATTAAATTTAATTAGCACACATCCATTTCCGAACACTCGCGAGATTTTAAATCTTTCCTTCCTTTCCATATTTTTTAACTCACAAAAACAAAAAACAAAAATAGCCTTAAACACATAAATTATTATTTTTTCGTGGATTATACACGCACTTAAAACACTTTATATTTACAGTTATTTATTTATATTTGCACTTATTTATTTATATATTAATTTATTTTCACAATTTTTTTAGATTATATTTGCCATACGGAAAACCACATTTTTTATATAAACTAATTAAACACTAAAAAAAATATATTAAAAAAAATAATTAATTAAGCACTTAAAAAAATAATAACAAAAATTAAGACATGCTCTGTGGCGTATTTAATAATTATTACACTTTTATATTCGCTTTATTTAAATTTTATTTTATATATTTACTTTTATTTATTTTTTTAGAGGCTATTTGCCATTCCGCACAACACAATATCAATTAATTAAACACTTAAAAAAAAAAAACAATTAGATATTTTCTTCTGCGTTGACAATAATAAATGAAAAGGCATGGAAAGATCTTTAAAATTACGAACACGAAAAAAGCACACACTTGGAGCTTTTAAAACTGTTTGTTTAAAGCACACCTCCAGGACAGCTTTTTCTTGCACTTTTGTATTTGCTTTTCTTACCACACAAATACATGATGGCGGCTGCTGCTGCGCCGCATTGTCTGCCGGAGTCTCCGTTTTTTTTTTCGCAGTTTTAGTGGCTTTAACTTAATATCCACTTGCTAACTGATTTAATCTGATCTTTGTTGTTGATCACGTAGATATTTAGTTCACTTCGGCACTTGCACAATTTCTATTTTTTCATATACCGTTTTCCCGCTTTTTTAACTACATTTGGAGGGAAAAGCAGCGCACACTTCACATTTCATAAATCGTTAATAAATCCACTTGTTTGGTGTTTATTTCATTGTTCCCGCATAAAGCTCAGTTAGTTTTAATGATTTACTAGTTTAGTTGGTGTTATTAAAATTTTTTCCGAGCTAAAAACGTTTTTTCACAGGAGCAGCACGTCCGCCCGCAACTTTTTCACTTTTGCAAATGATCTTCTCTCCTTTATTTCTACTTCACACGCTCTCTCGCTACTGAAAATCCTTTCTGGCAATGCCGATGAGAGAAGTGAAAGAGAACGCGAAATCGGCAAAGTGAATAGTTACGGCTTGCTGCTGCTGCTGCTAAAAAAACGTTTATCGTCGGAAAAATAGTTTAATAATACCCAAAAAACAATTAAATCAATAAAACTAACTACGTGTTATGTGTGAAACTCAAGTTATCATTGTTATCATGGATTTATCAGTAGTAAACTAAAAAGTATGTGCGGTGTCTCCTACCAATAGGAATTGTGGCTGTGAAAAAAATGGAGTTGTGTAAATCCCAAGGTGAAAGAAATAAAGCATATATTAATAACTATGCCGCAATAAGGATTTTACAAATCGATCGAATTAAATCTATTAAAAAGCAATAAAAACACTTGAGATTGCCGTGGACAATGGCAGCAGCCGTCGCTAATACATACACACATACGTTCCTATTAGAAGCTTTCAAGCCGCTCTCTGGCGTCAAATCGAACTACCGTACATGTCCACTCGCGAGAGAGTGGGTCAAGGAGATGAAAGGAGAGCAAGATCATTTGCAAAAGTGAAAAAGTTGGAGGCGGACGTGCCGCTGCTGTGAAAAAACTTTTAAGCCCGAAAAAACGTTTAATAACACCAACTAAACTAGTAAATCATTAAAACTAACTGCACATAATGCGGGAACAATAAATAAACACCAAACAAGTGGATTTATTAACGATTTATGAAATGTGAAGTGTGCGCTACTTTTCCCTCCAAATAGTGGTAAAAAAGCGGGAAAACGGTATGTGAAAAAATATAAATTGTGCAAGTGCCGAAATGCCGCAGTGAACTTGGTAAATAATATAGTACATATGTACGTGATCAACAACAAAGATCAGATTAAATCAGTTGTCAAGTGGATATTAAGTTAAAGCCACTAAAACTGCGAAAAAAAAACTGCGACTCCGGCAGACAATGCGGCGCAGCAGCAGCCGCCATCATGTATTTGTGTGGTAAGAAAAGCAAATACAAAAGTGCAAGAAAAAGCTGTCCTGGAGGTGTGCTTTAAACAAACAGTTTTAAAAGCTCTAAATGTAAAGACAATGTGTTTGAAGACAATGCGTGTATTAAAAGTGCTTTTTCCGTGTGCGTAATTTGAAAGTTCTTTCCATGCCTTTCCATTTATTTTTGTCAACGCAGAAGAAAATATCTAATTTTGTTTGTTTTTTTTTTAAGTGTTTGATTAATTGAAATTGTGTTGTGCGGAATGGCAAGTAGCCTCTAAAAAAATAAATAAAAGTGTAAATATAAATTAAATGTAAATGAAGCGAATATAGAAGTGCATATTAAGTATGCCAAAGAGCATACCTTTTTTTGTTATTATTTTTTTTAAGTGTTTTATTATTTTTTTTTCTTAATATATTTTTTGAAGTGTTTAATTGATATGAAAAATTGTGGTTTTCCGTATGGCAAATATAATATAAAAAAAAAAAATTGTGAAAATAAAAATAAATAAGTGTAAATATAAATAAATAAATGTAAATATAAAGTGTTTAAAGTGCGTGTTCAATCCAAAAGAAAATAGGAATATATTATATGTGTTTATGCTGCGCTTTTTTTGTTTTTTGTTTTGTGAAGTAAAAAAAATGGAAAGGAAGGAAAGATTTAAATTCTCGCGAGTGTTTAGAACTGGATGTGTGCAAATTTTATTTAATTTGCCAAGAAAAGACGAAGAAGAAGAAGATATCCAAATGAGAAAATCGGTGAGTGAAAGATTCATTTTATTTTTATATTGAATGCATTCCGATATTCTATTACTATTATGCGAAAATTGTTTGGGAAAAATTGGGAAACTTTGTTGGGCTCTTCTGTGATGTTTACTTTCTGCTGATGATTTCAAACATTTTCTTCGAAGTATATTTAAACATATTTTCTGCTCTTCTTAAATTTAAATTATTGAAAAAATTATTTTCTTGTTGTAAAATTCTATAAAACTTTATTTACTTAACTTAATAATTCGAATTATTGCTTGGCTCTATTTTTAAACTGAGATATCGATGGCTGCTATTAGTTTCGATACCACACAGTTACCGATGTGTGGCTATCGATGTTTTCTCTAAAGCGGGGTCACACTTGCAGTGTGACCGATTTAGCCATTTTATCGTCAGATCTGGCTACAAAATGTTTTCAAAATAATTTATAATCGTCATACTGCCACAATTAAATGGTTTTCAAAACTGTTTTGTTGGCCACTGCGTCGCGCGCGGCAAGTAAAAGTTATGTTAAAGTGATACCAAGTGAAATTTAAAAGTGCTAATATGTTTGGAGAAAATAATATATTTTTCGGATAAAAAGAATCGGCGAGTTTCTAGCTAAAGATGTGTTTTGGCTTTTTTAGCCTTTTTAAAAATGGTGATCTGGCTCATTTCGGGCAAAGCAAAACGTGCAACACTGGTCACACTGGCTACCTGCTGGGAATCGGGCAACATCACCGTGGAAAAAAAAAAGAATTGGGGAAAATGTGGTTTTCGGACAAGTGATTAGCCGCAACGCAGGTGACGAGGAGCTGGCCGTGGACAAAACCAGATTCGGAAGCGGACGGAACGTAACGGATTGGACCGGACGGCCGGACAACTCCTTATCCCTTGGCTGACTATGAAATTGCTGGCATCGACGTTCTCGTCGTCGTCGTTGTCGTTGTCGTTGTCGTCGTGCATTGTTGTTGTTGTTGTTGCTGCCGTCGCATTTCGTATTGGCATCGGTTTAGTACAAATGGCAGATGTGGAGCGGAGGTGGTGGTGAGGTAAATGTAAATCTACGTGCGAATCCGAATCCGAACCCAAATCCGATAAACGGAGAAACCGAGCTGAGACAGGCAGAGATATAGGGCCGCTGCAGACAGTTCTAATTATACAACCAGCGCCGTACCGTGTTCCCCCGAAGAGCGAAACTGGTTATACACACATCAGCAGCGACGTCGCAAGGAAAGGAACGGGAGCAGCAGCAGCAGCGGCAGCGGCAGCGCAGCAGCAGCAGCAGCAGCAAAGGCGCAGCGGAGGGTGAGGGTGAGTAAAAATCGATTTGTTGCACAAAACACACGACTACGACCACGTCCACGAGACTCTGCACTCGGGGTGTGCTGTTTGCTGTGTGCCGTGCTGTGTTGTGCGAGTGGGCGCAAAATCGGGGGGCGGCAGTGCGAGTGGGGTGCGGTTCTAGGTCGACCTGGGCAGCAAACAGATGAGCCGCGAGCACAGCCCTCCCTCACCCGCCCCTCCCCCCCATCTTCCCTGCCGCACATCTCACTGCTGACATCTCGCACATCACATCTGATCCCGTCTTGTTTGCAGGCCTGATGGACAAAATCAAGTTGAAAGTTATTGGGGTGCTGCGCGAACGCGACGGCAGCACAAATGTCAATCGTAGCGGTGCAGGAGGAGCAGGAACCGGAACAGGAGCAGGATCAGCTGGAGCAGCTGCCGCGGGTAGCAGTCATCAGGTGGCCGGTGGTGCTGGTACTGGCGGGGGCGTGGCCATGCCTATTGGGGTCACGCAGGACAACGCCAACGGCAACGATGGCAACGCCCCAGGAGCCACAGAGCGGCAGAGCGGCGATGCCCCGGCAACGGCTGCCACTGGCGTTGGAGCCCCCGCAACCGGTTTGGGTGGAGCGGCTCGCACCTCGGTGCTACCACGGCCACAGACATCGAAGATTAGCGCTTTGGACCTGGCCGGCATACTCAACACGAGGAGAAGACTCGAGTGGACCAAGGAGTGGCTGCGCAAGAATCAGGCCGAGTTCCTTAGCAAGGAGAACCTGCTTAGCGAACTGCAGTCGCGGAAGGATGAGTGCTACCACTTGAATTACTTCCTAGCCATAACCGAGAGCCAGTTCCGCTACCTGGTGCAGAAGCTGGAGCCGATCATCAGCCAGTATGCGCCTCAGCGCAAAAAGAAGTCGTTCAGCGCTGAGGAGCGACTGGCCATAACGCTCAAGTATTTGGCTACGGGTAAGTCTTAAGTTAAAGCTAATTTCCCCACCAAATGTATTCATCTTTTGGCCTTGATCTCTTCCTGCAGGTGAAGTGCATTCTTGTCGAAACTACTGCTTCCGTGCCTCGAAATTTGTGATAAACGAAATGATTGCCAATATCTGTCTGGGCTTCTACGAGCACCTCAACGACCAATACGTGACACTACCAAAGACTGACGATCAGTGGCGCAGCGCCGCCGAGGAGATGGAGCGCAAGCACAACCTGCCCCACTGTGTGGGCAACCTGTTCATGCGCAGCATCCAGCTTCAGGGCTCTGGCTCTGGGGCGGCGAGTAGCGGCGCTGCCGGTGGCGACGATCGCAAGCGAGCTACTGTCATTTTCACGGGCATCGTGGATGCCGACAACAATTTCCAGTACGCGACGGTGGAGCGGGCAGCAAGTAGTAGGCCCAACGACATCTATAACCAGACCACTGCCGTTGAGCTAATTAGGCACAAGATGCATGCGCTGGAGGAGCAATCGGAGCAAATGGATCGGCAGGGATATTACTTTGCTGGCGACTCGGTGCTGCCAGCAACCTCCTACTTGGTGACCACACGCAACCTGCCCAAGGATCGGGCGGTGCTGGAAGCCCTCGAGCAGGTGAATGCGCACGCCGATCAGACGATGCGCATCCTGTGCAATATGTTTCCCATTCTGGCACAACCGCTGCGAATTAGCGACAAGCACATCCGCGAGGTTGTGCTCGGTTGCGTGGCGCTGTACAACTTCCTGCGAAAGACGGATGATTCCTTTCGGCGCACCAGCGACAGCATTGTTCAGCAGCGGGCGGAACAACAACAGCTGGCGGCGGCGTATAGCGTCGATAGCGATGAGATTGACGATGACTGCATTATGCTGGCCACCGAGGAGGAGCTGCGCGAGCGGGCCGAGTTTACGCCCAGTGTGGGCCTAACCACCTGCTTTCAACCGCTGTGCACGCAACGCGGAGAGACACCCGAGGGTCTGGCCAAGCGAGACTGGTTACTCCAGCTGCCCATCGCTCAGCAGAGCGGGAGTGGCAGTGGAAGTGGAATAGGGTCAAGCGATGGCAGCGGTAACATGAGCGGAAACGGTGGCAGTACGGATAGTGCGAGCGGCAGCTCGAATGGGAGTTTATATTAGTGCAATTTTACCTAAGTACTTTACGAATTTTGTATAGTTCCTTGTTTTATATTTTCTAAATCGATAATCTGTAATCTAAAACAGCATCTGTTGCCACGTTGCCACGTTTGCCGACTCTTGTTTACCTCTCGTTTGGCGCATTCTTCTCTGCATACCATTACGATTACGATTACGTTCACAATCGTTCCAGTTCCAGTTCCATCTGCGTTCCGTGCTTCACCTAGGGTTCTGTATAGTTAGCTTAGTTTCTTGCGGAAGTTCCGGTTCGGTGAATGATGATGATGATGCTATGTGATGTCTCAAATCTCTATTTGTGGCCCAGTGCACCGCTCCTGGGGAGCTTAGCAAAAGGCCAGGCCAGGCGGCGGCAGCTGACAAAAAAATGTGCGAAGTCGACGAAGTACAGCGGAAACACAGATCAACAAAATTAAAATTTTAGTATTCGTATTTAAGCAAGCAACAAATTATACATAATTATATTTACAAATAAATGTGTAAGGAAAGTTCTTTACGTGTCGAAAGCTTAGTTACTATCTAAATGCTGGAAGACCAGTGAGGCCACTGTTCCAGGAGTGCATAGAGAGCCGCTCCTGGACTCTCAGTGGGGCTCACTTGCCTATGACCAAGTAGCTTGTAGTTCTCGGTTAGATGGCCTTCTTGCACAGCCTTTTCCAGTAGTTTCTTAGCCGCCTCGATGGCTTCCTGTGTGGGTGCCTGCTTACTAAAGTTTCCAATGAAAGCGATGCCCAGGGAACCTTCGTTGTTGGGGCCAGCGAATGCTCCCCTTTGGCTAGGACTTCTGCCTTCGTATACCTTTCCATTGCCACCGATCAGATAGTGGTAGCTAATATCCGAGAATTTTGCCGGGTCATTTGGAATATCTGGAGGTTGCGGACTTGTAGGGCACAGGCCACATCATCCGTACAATCAATGCCAGCTGTGTGTGCAATTATGGCCCTCGGTAGGGGAGTTTTCATTTCGTCTATGGGTCCACTCGGAGTTCTGGCATTCCATTCAGCCCTCGTCACTATTGTTGGTTCTTCCCCTTGGACAGATATTGCCGCGAGGCTAGCAATGAGCATCAGCAACCACGTTGAGATCATTCCGTAGCCGTGTCCCTCAACGTACTGAGTAGAGATCGTAGATTGCTGAGCTCTTATTGTCGCCTGATAAGGGGTATGCCCCTAGGGCGATGGCTTTTGACTTTATATATTTGTTCATTCAAATATGGGGTGATTTTCTCGATAATTCTTACCAATACAGTTACCACTAAGAGGGCAGTTTTAATAATGTTATAGTCAGTTTAACAGCCAGATTTATTGACTTATAAAAGACTGTTGTAATTACCTGATCATTAAAATTGTAATCGATCAAATCAATAAGGATCATTAAACACTCTTCAATTAAAAGACCATTTTTCCCACAATATGAAAAATAGACATTATCTCTACCAAAAAATGTATTTATTAGGGTGAGTTAGTAGAATTGTCATTAAACGCCTCATTTGTGTTTAAAATGTTCACCCAAAGAAGTCGTTGTCTCCTGCTGATTTTTCTTCTATATTTCGTGAACAAAGTATATATATCTATACTTTGCTTAAATGAAGGAATAATTTTTATTAAATTACCTCATAGATCTCATCAAAAGTGGAGTTTACCAACATCAAGTGCAACACTTTCGATCCAGATTTCGCCAGCTTTGAGTACTGTTTCCTAAAGTCTGTAAATCGAACTTACAAGTACTTGTCTATTAAAGTGAACTTGCACAAGACGCCTATTACCAAAGTTAAAGTTAGTATGATTTAAAACTATGATACTATATTGCTTAGTAATCTTGTTATTAGGTAAATATAGCAATTTTTAAGCGTTACAATGGATACAAGCCGTTTCTCTACAATATCACAAAGGACGCCTGTAAATTTTTGCTTCTTAAAAATCCCGATCCCGTTTCCAATTACATTTACAATGGTTTCAAGAGTTTCACCAATATGAATCACACTTGTCCCTTTGAGGTGAGTCCCCAGTAATCTACGATTTTGGATATTTGTTGGTGAGGGTTTAATTTTGTTGATTTAATTTTGTTCCCAGAATGATTTGCTTGTAGAAAATTGCCAATTGGATATATCAATCAACAGGTAACGGATGTTTTACCAGTTCCCCATGGGGATTACCTCTTTCATTCCAATTGGATGGCTTACGACATAAAGCGAGCAACTGTTAATGTTTACTTTACCATATCGTAAAGTATTACAACAATATTTTATTTCATATAATTAATGGGGTATTAAGGTGAATTGTAAATAATTTAAAGGGAAATTGAATAAAAATGAATGAGCACCCCTCGGGGAATTCTTTATCCCCACACTCATACCGATGATCAATTGCGTTTATGGTGTCATAGTCATATTTGAACGGGGATTCACCATTTCCGTAGCCTCTTCAAGTTAAACCTCCCCCACCGATTCCGTCTTATTCCATGCATTATGCTAGTTCATACGAGCCCCAAAATAACCTCAACTTGACACAGATGTTCTACGCAGTGATTTAATTAAAAAACTTTTGCAATTAAATGCAAAAATAGCAAAAAACAAAGCAAAGTGCAGGCGGCCATTATGGGTTGATGAGGAAGCTGGAAGCAGAGTAAAGTAAAGTGACGGCTTGGAGGGAAATCGCAAAGTGACAACGAAAATGCAAGTAAGCGCCCTCAATTAAAAACCCAAAATGAACATAAAATGCCATGGAAAAAAGAAAAAAAAGGCCAAGCCGCAACAACCAAAAAGCCAGGCCAAAACCGAAGCTGAAACCAAAACCGAAGCCAAAACTATGCGCCGCTGGAGAAGCCAGCTGCTAGCGAGGGCAGAGAATAGGAAAAACTCTTGTTAAACCGAATTTAAGTGAGTTTTTCACTAAAGGCGACTTCCTCCCCCATCCAAATTAGTTGTTGTATGGTTATTTGAATTGTTTGGGCCCAGCGATTTCGGTTCTTTTTATTTTTCTTTTGGGGAAAAACATATTTTTTATTTTTCAAATTTAATCCGTCCTAGAATATTCGGCAAGTTGGCTTGGATGCCGCCCACAAAAAGACTCGGCGCCATGCCGTCTCATTTGCAAAAATTGGCAGATTTATTTCGCTAATTGCTGCTCATCCGTTTAATTAAAATTAAAAGAACTTGCGCCAGTTAGGGCGTAAAAGTTTTTATGCGAATTCTCTAGAATTTCGAATTGGGCACTTTTAGTTTTTCGTTTTCCGTTTCCCGTTTTCTGTTTTTCGTACTCTGTGATTTTCACCCTTCACCCGCTGCTGTGTTCACCTTTAGTTTTCCGCATTTGTTGTTAGAACAAAAGTCATCTATTAAATTGCTGCCAAAAGTTGCTGGCAAGAGCAACTCGATGATGATGCTTTTGCAAGACGATGGCCAGGTGTAGGCTTCTTCCATTCTGGACAGCAAACAAATTAAACTGCTGCAAGTCTTTTGGTGGCTGCCGTTAAAGCTGTCACCTTTCCACCTCACCCTCCCCCAGAAAAGGTGTCAATCGTGCAGGTCCGGGAAAGTTGTGGCTAACAACACTAGTTGCAGCAGCAGCAACAACAATTTGCCGCAATAGTGCAGCAGCTGCTGCTGCTGTTGCTGCTGCTTCTGGTGTTGCAACCACGCCCCCGCCAGGCATTTGCCACTAAACCGGAAAGAGCAAAAGTTGCCTGCAACCACGGTGTGGATTTGGACTCGGATTTCGGGTAACTTTGCACTGTGGATTTGACACACACACGCACACACACCGCCTCTGCAATCCGTATCGGTGGGCGTGTCAATGGGGGTGACATTTTTATGACAACTTGCTTAAATTTCATAAGAAGAACTCCCACAGAAAACGAAAACTTATTTCGTTTACGAGGCGCCCAACTTGTGCACGCGGATATTTTTTGCAGTAAGCGAGTCCTGGGCGCCTTATTCGCTAATGAATAAAGTTCGTTTATGAATATCGCGGGTTGGAATTCTCACTGGAGATTCCAAAACTCGAACTTAAAGTTCAAACAGAGAGTGGGAGAACTGTGTCCTTTACTTACTAAAGTCTGATTTAGTTTGTTTTATTAGGGCATAAATTAGAAAGAGGTTAAGAGCATTATTAAATATAAATTAAATGTACATTTCAAACATGATTAATTCGTTTATTGTATTAATGTTCAACATTAGTCATAAATATAATAAATAATTGAGGGAGATAAAAGCAAAATGAGGTATACAATTTGAATTGTAATTGTTGTTTGTTTGATAATGATAAATAAGGCAATAAAGAACTAATTCTGACAACTGTCAATGATATTATGTATATTATAATTATTACTTATATGCTAAATAATAATCTGAAATTTATATGTTTACCATAATGGTTAAGAAGTATCAAAGGAAAATAACTATTTTGTAAATTCTCAAGTTTTTTAAACAAAGAAATCCAAGTCCCAAATTCGATTTATTTTAAATCCGACACAACAAAGTTGATAGCAGTTTCTTTTATATATATTTATGATCTGAACTGACGTTGCATTATTTGGAATATGAAGCGTAAAATATGCGCAACACTATAATGCTATATTAAAGTCAAAAAAACGATGTGCGTAACCTCGTTGCCGTCATCATCATCATCTTCGTCATCGTCTTGGTTGAGGTCGTTGTTGGCTTTACCGTCCAAAAATTTCGCAGCGTCCTGCAGGTCCTGCTCCTGCTCCCGTCCCGGCTGACATCTTGTCAGAAATTTTCATGCTGCTGTAAGCTGTTTTCATGCACATTTTGGGCACTTGTGCTCCAGCACAAACACTTCAATTTGGCTTCAAGGATGCGTGCATGAGGCCGGGGACCCAGCCGATCCATACAAGGCAGACAAAAATCAACCAGACTAGACCAGACCAGACCAGACCAGGCTAGAGCAGCTAGTCAAAGTGCCGGAAGGAAGTGCCCAGCGGGGAGAGAGAGTAAAGATATATGGAGATGCAACGGCGATATAAGGGGACATGTGCTAGTGGATCCTGGTGGCAAACAACGGCCAACTCTTTAACTATAACTTTTGATGTATGCTAAGGAAATATTGTGGGAGTGCACTCAATCGTGGTTGCCCTGGCATCGCCATCAACAGTCATCCTGCGAAGGGGAGTGTGTGGTGTGTGTGGGGTGTACTTTGGTGGGGTGTGCGCCATCAACTACTTAGCGTCAAAACGCTTAAAGTTGAATTTGTAACGCTTGAAGTAAGGCGACGGGCACAAAGCCAATGGAGTGTGTGAGAGAGAGGCAGTCGAAGCGGGAAGGGGATTGGGGAGCGTCCTGGGAAGGTCCTGTCTAATGCCAGTTTACTCATCTATTTTTATTAAACTCGCCCTTGTCTCAGTTTTGCTGCATTGCATTGCATTACGTATACGCAGTGCGGGCCAAACACAAAAAGGGTAAGCAACGTGCGTCATAAGGCATAATAAAAACCCAAATGCAAAAGAATTATGAGTAATTTATGGTCAGTGAAATGTTCTAAACCCCAAAGATTAATTTAAAAAATTGTAAAGAGAAATTTTGGAGATAATATTAAGGATTCATCCTTTAAACTATCATACTATCTTAAATCTTTGACAAATAATAGTGGGAAATGTACTACAAAGTATTTTCTTTTAGAGTTAAAACATTACAGCTTCTCCTTTCCAAATAATATCCTTACACCATACATAGTTTCTGCTCTTTTTATAAACATATATTGCACAAGTTGTTCTCAATTCAGAACTCTTGCAATTACAGGTGTAGCCTTGTGTAAGAACTTATCGTATTGATAATAACATAAGATGGCATTTCTAGGAAATATCTTGAAGAACCACTTCACAGGAATATGGTCGAAAACCCTTGAAAATATACTGGCAGTGTGGCAGAGTGCGTGGCAATGGCAACAGGAAAAGGGGGCAGTTGACTTTAGAGCCTTGAATGTTGCAGTTGCAGCATTGGCAGCTGTTCCACTCCACACACCACCATCCATTGCCACACTCAGACCCAAACTTAACTTCACATTGCAGCTTATTTTTGGGGGGTTTAATTTTGATTTAAACGCTGGCAGACAGCTTGAAGCCCGCTGCCCGGAGCGTGCTGGAGCGGAAGGACAGACATGTTCGCTCACTCGGACATTGGGTGGAAGGAAGTGGGAGGGGATAGGTCCTTTTGCTTCACCTCTCGAGCATGAAGCTTGCTTCAAGCTTTATTGAAATTTAAGTTGCACTTGTCGAGTGGCAGTGGGCGTTGCAACACTCGGAACTGGGCTAATGAAAGGACACTTTAAGGCGGGCAGCCTCTCACAGATCGATGCTCTCTCTATCTGTCAGTCATTTAATTTTCATTAGATTAAGGTAAGCAGTTGTGGGGGGGGGAGAGTCCTTGCAAAGATTAAGGGGTTGGTTAATGCACAGGAAGAAAACATATTACTTGAGAAATAAATTAAAAATGTTTTAATATAATATGAAATGAGATGGTAGTCGAGAGTTACTTTTAATCATATAAACAATGGATTAGTATTCGCTGTTTTTCTTTGGTCCTTCAGGATCTGAAATAAGGACTTGCCAGACATCTCCCCCAGCTGGATGTGGCTGCTGTTGCTATTGCTGTTTGCTCTCGCTCTCGTAAATGTAAAAGTTGCAACTTGTAGCCTCAAAATAACCACAAAGTAAACACTGGAGTGGCGCAGTCCGTAGTCCGTAGTCCGTAGTCCGTGGTCCGTAGTCCCTGAGTCCGTAGACGGAGACGACGGGGTACGAGTATTTGAATAGCTGTCGAAGACATTGCGTGCTCGCACACTCCTGCAGCTACATCGACAAGGACATTGTACGTGCGAACAGGACACGGCAATGGTTCGTCGATGTGTCCTTCGAACGAAGCCCCCCTTTTGCCCGTTTGCTGGCCAAAAATAAATAAGTGTGTAATTTAATATTTAAGGCTTTGTCAGTAATTATTTCAACGCAGATGTTGAAACTTTTCCTTTGTCGTTGCCATGGTATGAAGGGGAGGCCCCCGCAATTTGCATGCACCCGATCGGAGCACAATCCTTTCAAAGGAGTCCTGGACTAGAGTCCTGTCACTGCTGCACCGCTCATAACTCAGAGATCACAGCTTGCAAGAGTGAGAGAGAGAGGTAAAATTGACCCACTTGCCTCACATTTGTCTTTATTAAATGGTGAAAATTACGAGTTCATGAGCATATAAATTATAAACCAATTTAATAACCAGCCAGGCACAAAATGTGCTCAAAATGAACTACCAATTTTGTGGAGTATAACGAAACGCCGCAACATAATAATGGCTCCGGGTGAGCGTGAACATGAATTACGAGTGTTTAGCTGTTCGGGTACACCGTGAACAAGTGGGGGTTGGGGTGTGGGGTTAGTCTTTGCATTAGATTGCCTGATAATGGGTATGAGGCTTATAACCCAAAACCCACCTGTGCAAACTATTGAGTTCCCTGAATTCGCATCATTTTTGATACTGATATGGAATAAAAGAATTTATACTCCATTCCGTTTGGCTCTGAATATGCGCATAGTTTAAGCTTGTAATTATTCCAGCATTTAGTTTAACATTTAGCCACGCCCCTTCTGCCATGGAAACTGTGTGCATTTTTCCCTTAACCCCCAGTCAGAGGAAAAACTCCTGTTCTCCAGTTCGCTGCATGTGCGCGCGTTAAAGTGAATTTTAAATGATTTATTGCACATCCAGCTAGACCACAGATACTACAAATTCTACAATTACAGGACAAGCATCCAGTGCAGTTTCCTTTTCCTGACCTTTTTTAGACGTTTTTTTTTCTAGACGTTTTTTCCCTGGATTTTCTCCAGGACTCTCGTTAGCATGTTAATTGTAAAGCATGTCCTAATTGCATTTGAGCAGCAGAGATGAGTTAAGGTTTTAAGTTCCAAAGATGAGTACCTAGGCTTTAGAGTTAGTTTTGCCTTGTCAGAGTTAAGGACAAAGATTCACTCAATTATGGCCTAGGAAATTGTTTCGTTATACAAATCAAGGATAAAATGTTGGTATAAGTTCGAAAGTCAGGGGTTGTTCGAAGTCCACTCGGTTGTGGTTCGAGTGGATGTTGCAAGTGGAACCTAGTGGTGGGACTTGTGTACGTCGAGTTGCTTTGAACCTGGTTTGAAACCAACTCAAACCCAGTTCGATAAGGATCTCCTCCAACTCAAAGCTCAAAGTAGGACATACAAGTCCTGGTTAGACATGCAACTTTGCAGAAATGAGTGAGAACTCAAATCAAATGTATAAAACTGAGTCAATTTTTTGAGCAAATTGTAAACGATTCACGATAATTATTAATTATGTTCCTTAATTTGATAAATTAATAAAACCATTAAAGCAAATAGGCCGCCATGAGCCGTGTGGGTTAACAGCATACACATTAAAAAAATAGATGTGAATTAAACAAATTTGCCAACTGCAATCGAAAATCACATCAATCAGGCAGGCAGGACCTCGATATATATAGTATTTATGGCTCAGATTGGGATAGTGAGGTGGGTTGGCGTCACCAAAGCATAAAAATAAATTGATATCACAGCGAATTTGAATGAGCAATATGGCGTTTTTGCCATTTTTCCTGTCCTGCCGCCACTCGTTCAGTGCTCTTTTTTTTTTTTTTGTTGCCATGAATTATTTTGCCGACTGCATGTGAAATTTTTTTGGCAAAACTACAACCAACCCGGAGTTCGGGATGAATATGATGCATGAAATAACAATAATGAAATGACAACAAAAGGCAAGGATAACAAAGGCATGGACACAGGACGAGGCCATGCCGGGGAGATGACGACGAAATCGGTGGAGCACTCGGCCATCGGGGCAATTCAAATCCCAAAATCAAATGTGATTTTTGGTCACTTTGAAAATTGTTGATTAGTGACGCCTGAATGCAGTCCAATGAAACCGGATGCCGCTGCATTAAAGCAATTCCAAGATCTCTGTCCGCCCGTCAGTCAATTCCATTCGACATTCGGATGTGGAAGTGGATGTGGGTGCTCAACTGGACATGGCCTGGACATGGACATGGTTTCCAGAGAGAAGTCCCCGCTAATTGGGGCGCAAAAAAAGCTCCTCTGCGACCATAACCCTTGATGCAATTTAAACAATTAAAGCTACATAAATTAAAAATGTGGTCAGCAGCGACAAATTGCATGTACTAGTGGTAACTAGAGCCGCATCCATATGCGTATTGCCGCCCGTGACCTGACCACGCCCACCCATCAATTGCCATTAATTCGAGCATATTAATTCCAATCCACATGCCAGTTTTCTGTGTGTGTTTTTGGTTTCCAGATAACACCGCAAACGGGGCGTGGCCACCTCCTCCTCCCCAGCTCATTGTTAATCAATTACAATCTCCAGTACCACTCGACCTTTGCAAATTATTAGCCTTATTGTTCAGATTCGTTTGGGGAAAATACACTTGTACGTACATTTAAATGTTTAATACGTACAGGTCCTTGGCGAAGAAGAGGGAATGTTTATTATATTCCAAATTTTTACAGATTTATTTTAAACTTGAAATTAAAGCTAAGGCTTATTGTCAGGAAGCATCTTTAACCAAAAACACTTACTTAATCATCTGGATTAGCATATTTTGAAAGTGAGAATTATCATAATTATATTTATAAGAAAATAGAACAGTCTATTTTCAAGACTATATTTATTGCTCATTTATATAAGGGATTATTTTTGTTTATTTATGCCACTAACATGAATAAATATTTACATTCTGTTTATCGATTTGTTAATTACATTTTAATCTATCTTTAAATACAATCATCAAGAAAAACAAATATTTTAATTTCGAAACATAGTTTGTAGTATTATTGGGTTTTCAAAACTGCATAGTGAATGAAGGATTTCAAAAGTGTATTGTTTCGTTTTGAATTATTAGACACTTAATGATGCAAACTGAACAATTTTGTATTGATCGACTCGACTTTTGGTGCGAATCAAGAATATATATATACTTTAAGGGTTGATAATAATTATATAACGAAAATTTTAAATACCCTAGAAGGGAAAGCCCATCATTTCAAATTTCTGTTACTTGCGTCAGTGCTACCCATTTATGCAAAGTGACTGCCATTGTTCAATGGTATTTTTTTTTTTGGTATTTTAACCATCGATACAATCTCTGTTATTTTGGTATCGACCAAGCCACGGTCACACTTCGACGCGTGTTATTTAACGGCAAGACAGCTGTAGAATTTCATAAAATTCTTTTAAAATAAACAATGTTAATTCTACGCGGGATGATGCCAAGGGGCAAACAGATTGCCGGTGTTCTTGGTAACATGTCCCGCCAGCTACCGATTCCCCTGTCACAAAACTGCAGATCCATCGCCGGCTCGAGTTGGACGAAAACGGTGCCGCTGCAAAAACAACATCAACAATCACAGCAACTGCAAAGCAGGTGGCTTTCGACGAAGTCGACAAAAACTGATTCCGAGGAGGAGGCATTGCAGCGCATCTACTATGGAACGCTGGCCCCTCGCATGAAGATGGTCAAGTTCTTCTCCCTGAGCACCAGTTTGGCAGGCATTGCGGCTCAGCCGATACTCCTCGAACAGGGCATGAAAATAGGAGGCACTGGAATGGCCGTGTTCCTCTGTTCCGTGGGTGGATTCTTCACTTTTGTGACCCCACTGTTGCTGCACTTCATCACCAAGAAATATGTGACGGAGTTGCACTACAATCCACAGACGGAGGAATACACGGCCACAACGATCTCTCTGCTTCTGCAAAAGATCAAGGTGAGTGTGCCGAATAAGGAATTTCAACTCGAGTACAATGTCAACTCTCTTACCAGACCAAGTTCCGGCCCAGCGATGTCACTGTTCCCGAAGTTCCCGGCATGTTTACCTCGTTTTGGTAGGCAAGCGTCCTCTGTTCATAGATCCAGCGTTGTTTGACGATCCCGAGCACTATGTGCGGATCATGGGCTACGACAAGCCGATTGACTTCAAACTGGACCTTACTCCGGAAGCCGACAAGACCTCAAAGAGCAAAGAGAAGCAATAAACCTTATCGTTGGTTAACATTATCAAATGTTTTATTCAAAACTTTACATAAGTTCAGTAGGAGAACAGGACAGATTAACAACTCAATCAAAACTTCAACAAATTCAAGAAATTTAAGGATACTTCAACTTTCAACTTAAAAATAAATGGATTTGGAATAATCCTAAGTGACTAGGCTTTTGCCAAAGATAAACTGAATATCTTCTGTGGTCATGCAGTTGCGATCGCGACACTTGACGAGCCGCCGGAAGATGCGACGCGATATTTTCATACATTCGCGTCTCTGATCTGCGGCAAGATTCTCAAATATATTGGCATTTGGCACCAAGTAGAAAGGCAGAAAGCCCCTTCGAAGGTACATGGCCATATAGTCAACAGCCTGAGGGAATATTTGAAAAAGATTAAAGTCAATTATTCGCATTTCAGATTCACTCACCCGAATGAGTATGCGTCCAGGCGATTGATTCCAGTTGATGCTCTTTTGACTGGTAGCATTCAGGAATAAACTCTTGATCGCATAACTAAACAATATTTTCGTTTCCATTCGAAGCGCCTTCATCAGCCTCAAAGCGTCTTTGAGGTGCTGTTTCTTTTCCAGTCCCATTTTCTCCCAGTGGGGAGCGCACACAATAAATGTTAGAGGATCCTCAGCGATGGAAGAACTTATCTTGCGCGGCACGGCGTACCAGCTGCGACCCTTGTTAGGGAAAAGCCTTTGCTTGCGAAAAGCCTTTGGCCACTCCGAGGCCAAAAACTCAAAGGCTGGTACAAAATCAAAGGAAATTTTGCGCCCAGGATGCGTTAAGCATCTGGCTTTAATGGTGTGTGCCACATGGCCACCGGTTTGGTTACTCAGCTCGTAGATCCGTCCGCCAGCGCAACGAATGTAGTTCAGGTGCGGGATCACTGCATTAATGTTCTCCCTGAACCAGGTCTGCACCTTCCGGCGGTTTATATAGTAGTATTCACCCAAACGATCCGTGAGATGAAGGGGTATGTCGTCACCACCAACCTGAAGGTGAATGTAGCCGCTATGTCCGGCCACGGGAACTGGTTGTATATCACATGGCAGAGCAATCTTGGTCAGCATGTCGAATTCATCTGGTAGATTTATCTTTACTCTATTAAGATTGCTTCCTGTCAAGCAAAGGCCCCGGAAAGCTCGAGCAAAAAAGGGATCTCGACGACATATTGCTCGGACGAACTCATTCTCGATTTGCTGAGCATCTTCCTGAAAACTCAGTCGATCTTCGGGACTAATTGAGATTTGTTTTAATATAAACTCTATGCCCTCACCAAAGGTAAACTCTTTGGAACACATAATGTTGCCAAATGGAGTTTTAGCAATGAACAACCGCTGTTAAGATATTATTTGTGAACCTAGTTTATGTAATTGTGTTTGAGCTTGGTTTAGGTTTTTTTCATTTCTAAAAGAAGAGAACAAAAAATGTTAATTGGAAGTTTAATTATAAGCTTCAAATTCAACTTTAAATCGGTATATTTCCGGGAATTTGAATATTTTTGGGGAAAATTTAAATTTTGGGAGTTTTAAAGTGGCCAGATCATTGAAGGTTTCTAGTATTATTTGGGCCGTGTGGTAATGCTGAGTATTTTCAGTGTGGTCATATTTATTTACATTGAACATATGGGAACACCGCCATGGGCACTCCGGAATTAAAAATAATATTGGAGTTTAGGTAATTACGTCTTCTCTATAATATTTACCAAGTTTTTAAAAGTGAAACACAGTGCAGGAGCAGAGCTACTTTTTGGCAACATCAAGCGCCGTGAGCTAGCCCTTGATGGCAATCAGAAATGTGAGTTAAACATAATCTTACTGTGAATAATGTTTGTAATTTGGCAATAATTGTTTACCTTTTGAAGGGACAATTGCCAACTTGTTAAATGGATGCATGCCAACATCCTAACAGAACGACCGGAACTCTTTCTTCAAGGAGACACGGTGTAAGTGACCTTGAAATCTGCATCTTGAAGAATTTGTTGCTGATTTTTATGCGTTTTAGGCGGCCTGGAATTTTGGTTTTAATAAATGACACAGACTGGGAATGCTAGTGAGTGAGCTTTTGAAGATTACTAGCAAATGGTATCCTAAAGAAACAATTTTTTCAGGGTGAACTGGACTACGAACTGCAGCCAAGAGACAATATACTGTTTATATCTACCTTGCATGGCGGTTAACTCATTTTCCCCAGAGTACAACTAGGCAAAACTTATTTTTATATGAAAACTCATTAAATTGTAAATGAAAAAAAAAAATCAAAAGTTTGAACTGTATCAGAATTACGTCCCTTTACCAAAATTTGGCAAAGGCCCACACGAAAGTTCGGGTCGTAAAAGTTTCATCATCCAGAGACTGTCTGAGCGCAAATTTCCCCTATTTATAGCAACACCAAGCGGAACCGGTACTTGAGAATTGTAAGAAAGCTAAGAATAGAAGTGCCCACCAGTTTGGCGGGTTTTTCAAATTCAGCTAAACTTTGTGTACATTGAAGCAACATTTATTGAATTTAAGTTTTCGCTTACACAACTATTTAAAGATACACTTGTATATCGTAGATTTATTTATATTTTTTGTTTACTTTCGTTTATTATTATTTAATTGTAGGCACTTAGGTTTACATATTAACTAACTGTACGTAATGAACTTCGATTCAGATATGCTAGGCACTTCGTGGTGCTCTTGTGGGTGTGTTGTGTTGTGGATCGTTCGATTGTGTGTGGTTTTCGAGGGTTTTATATGTATGAAATAGGCTTCGATATTGACACGCTGAATTCAATCATTTCCATCGGGGTTTTCTTGGCCAAAATGAAATGCACGAATATGACAAAAAATTAACGGAAATATACGAGTAAATGGTAATAAATAATAAATAACAAAAATAATGAAATAAAATAAGCGATCGATTCGATAATGCTTCTTCTATCTGGATCCGATGGTGAAACCGTTCTGCTAAAGCTATTAAATGGGGTTTTACTAATCCTAAATTCGCTGCTCTTGCTCCAGGAGCTCCTTCTATTTGCCACCATCTGGACTGGCGGATTCCGCTGCATGGGCATAGGACCGATAGCGTCGCAGGATCACCGTGGAGGCACTCGATGTGGATGCTGCCGATGCTGTGGCCGATGTGGATGTGGACCAGCTGCTCCGGCTGCTCTCTGCTGCCGCTGGTTGATCCTGATCCGGGGTGACGAACATGTCGGAGACAATGCCGCTCTCTGGATGAAGATATTTATATACATATACATAAATTGGATGAGAACAGATTGCAACAAACATACAACATAGAGAACAAGAACAACAACATGCAGCACGCGTCAGGACTCGGATTACAGGGTTAGGTGTTTTGTGGTGTGATTATATACAGTAATACTGGGAATTTTTCGAGAATTTAAATATGTATGTACAGGGATCAACTACAAGCTACGGGGTGCATCTAGAAGAAGTAGCTCAGTTCAAGCTCAATACCCATGGACAGTTGGCTGACAATGGTTGTCGATCGTTTGTGGTGTCGTTTGCTGCTCCCAAGTCCTGCTTGTACTCTTCCGCTTCCGCTTCCAGCTGCAAGACTGGAACTGGAACTGCCTCCTTCGGCGTCGCCAGACTCTGAGCTCTTGATTCCTCCGCCACTTGGTGACTTGACCAGCTTCAGTGTCTGCGTCTCGTTGATTAGCTCCAAGGTGGCACTACAATTATTCGCAGAACTGGTGTTGTGTGGTCCCGGCAGCTTGCCAAAATGCAAACTGTGTCGACCGCCTCCATCGTGATGGCCAGAGGATGAGGCACCACTAATGGAGGAGCCACTAGTGGTGCTAGTTCCGCTGGACAGAGAACTCTCCGAGATTAGGGAATTGGGTCGCCGCATGCTGCCCTTGCCGGGCTCCGAGTGACGCAGCTTGGGAGCTATGGGGAGAAAAATTAACATACAAGGATTAAGTTTTATATAACCAAAAACTTACTCTTGTTTAACTGCGCCAAAGGAATGGAGCGATCGCTAATCTGGTTGTTGCTGGGACGAATGTCAAGGCAAGGCTTACTGCCTATGCCCATCGAGGACATCTCCGCTAGACGAATTTCTGGAAAATGATATTAAATGTTAATTTCGTATTCAATTTGGATATTTTCCATATGTTCCCACCTCGATTTCTTTTCGCCTGCTTCCAGAGCAGTTTGGAGATCTCCTCTGTCCAGGAGTTCTTAATGTCCTCCGACATGCACTGCAGCATCCAGGTATCATCTGGTTTGCGTTTACGGAACCATATCTCAAACTTGGTGGCCGAATCGCCAGTGTGAGCTGTTAGTCCTATATCCGATGTCTTGATGCTATTCTTGTAGATATAGATGTCCAGATTCTGTTGGGGTTTAATTAAGAAATTTGGTAAGCAGATCAAATTTATTAGTGAAGGTTGCTGGGTACCTTGAGCCTCTCAAAGGTTGCCTTTTTTGTGTTTATAATAGATAATTAAAGGAAATGTTATTTTAATTGTTAGAAAAGTACCCTAAACTTAGCAATTTTCAAGTAATATTCAATTACAAACATATTTAACTAATCTTATTTGGAGGATTATTACGGTTATATTTTTGTATGCATTATTAAACGTTTTGAGGAAAAAATAATTAAATAATGCATACCTTATGATCGGGAAAGCGTCGCGCCTTGCTAAAGAGCACCAGTTCTTCGAAGAGGAACACCTGACGCAGCGTCTTCTTGCCACCGCGTCCTTGCCAAACAAGGAACTCATTCTGGCGCAACAATCTGCCCTGCTCCTTGACATTGACATCGCAGTCGCGTAGTGAGTCCATGGCCAGCAGATCATTACCATGTCTTAGCTGAAACTTGACCATCTCCTCCGCTCGCTGCAGCTCCTCAACATCTGCGGCAATCTCTTGGAGAGCAGCACCTTCGACACTGCGACAGGCCTTGACCAATTGCTGGAGCAACAGGGCATATTTGCCCATCCGCTGGACTGGTTTCAGGAGGTAGGAGGCTAGATCCAGTTTATCCTGAAGCTGGATCTGCTTGGGCTTAAAGAAGGAGCTACCATATTCGCTTAGCAAGGTGTCACTCTTGGGCTTGTTCTTATTGTACAACGCATATAGATAGAACTTGGACTCCATTTCCAGGAAGGCAGCTCCAACCTTCAACGGATTCAGTTCGTAACGCTCCAATTCGCCCAGAAAGTGTGAGTTGTGGAATTCAAAGATCTTTTCAATGTTGCCAAAAATCACATTGCGTTGTCCCCGAAGGGGCTGGGGTATATCCTCTCGCAGAAGTTCGTCTATATAGTTTTCGATCACGTAGTACAGGGAGCGCACATAGTCGCGTTCGGTACCAATCATTTCGCGCATGATCAATAGAAGCGTTCTAATGGGAGATTGCGGTTCGTTAAGTAAGATTTAATCACTGGAGAAGGGTTAGTAAACTCACTTTTGTATCTTGGGATCCAGGCAGCTTAGCTCCTCCAGCTTGGGCAGCTCCAAACTGGAGCCATGGCACTGCAGATGGGCATTCGCCTCCATTGGAGAATGCATGTCCATGTAGCGCTTGGAAGGTCGATCAAAGCATTCGTCTTCCATGAGCTCATCGTGACTGGAAAGTAATGGATATTAAAAATTAACTTTATATATTGCTATCAAGGAAAACCCACCTCTTTTCGTTGAGACTCTGACAGGAGCAGATCCTGGCCAGCTTCGGGTTGCGTTCACAATTGTCGCAGACTCCTACACCGGAGTCGGCAATCTTGGACTGTTGCTCCTCTCCCTCACCGCCGTCACAGACGCGATCTAGCTCCTCTTCCTCCTCCTCCATCTGGTCCATGTCATCCAGGTTGCGACTCTCTCGCCAGCAGCTGCAACTGCTGCTTGAGGGTCCACCCTCGAAGGAGCTACCACTGCCGAACTGCAGCGGTAACTAACTCTTTTGCTGGAAGCGGGAGCAGGTGTGCTACTAGCCACTGGGAGGGAGTGACTCTTACGCATTGCCGGCCAGTGCTTCTCCAAGAGAGCTGAGGCGCCCAGCTGATCTGCCAGGCGTTGCAGCTCCTCACGGGCAGCGGTCTCCCGCTGATGTTGGGTAAGCAGGTGAAGAAGACGGGCGGCAGCCTCATAGCGCTCATGGGCCAGCTCCAGTTTCTGGGCAAATTGATCCAAGGCGGTCTTCAGGTTGTTGGCGCTTTCGTTCAAAACGGACACCTTGAGGGCGGCGGCATGCAGATCGCGTCCCTTGGCCAGATGTTTCTGTAGATTAAGTGGGTTAATATAGATTTAGAAGCAATTGAAATATAGTTTTCTCTACTCACCATTGCTATAAAATAGTATTTCTCAAACTCCTGCTCTTGGGTCCTCAGCTGCGATTCGTTGTCCCATTGCAATTGTGAAAACTTTTGCAAATTATCCGCTCCATCGCTTCCCAGCCAAGTGGTGACCTTAAAATGTAGGACATGGAGTTAAAAAATCAGTGGGATACCTTAAGCGGGATGTAAACAAGCCCACGCGAGTAAGTCAAGGTTCCCCATTGCCAACTCCACCCCGTTTTCAAGTCCCAATTCCCAAACCCAAAACGCTGAAAAGTGAAACTCATAGAAATGATCGACGCTCTAATTAGCCTCCACTTTACAAATTAAAATCCAATCGAACACAAATCAAATAAAACGACTCAACTATGGGGTATTTTGGCTTCAAGCCAGCCTCCTCCCGAAGGTATTGGAAACCACAAACACACAACAAAAAAAGAAGAGACAACCACACCAGGTAGCCATGGATTGGAGAAGGGGGAAAGAAACAACAGCCACGGGGCAATCAACGATCTCACATTGATAATTTTGTGGCTCTAACCAATTTTTAATCACCTGCTGCGTCCAATTGAATTGATACAATCGACCAATAGACTTGCTTGATGATGATGATAATGACGATGCTATGGAACGGAGTTAACCAGCTCCCCCATACCATCCCAACCCAGAAAGCACCCAGCCACGGACTTGTAACTCCCAATTCCCAGATTGAAACGCGTGCAACGCGCATTCACTTTCCGTTTTTGGGTTCTGCCTTCAACTCTATTAGTGCACAGCGGGAAAATATGTAGTTTTTGTAAATTTATAATAATACAAATTTAGAATTAATAAAACCTTACCCATCTAATGCTAGAGATCCTTTGTTATCTAGTAAAATATTAACAATACAAGTGAATTGTAAACTTTAAGTAATATTCAATTTTCTCCTGGTGTTGATCTCTACCTAAGAGATAATGACTCCGAAGCTCTTCTGGGGCATGTCCACGTCTGCATCCCACCCAATGAATGAATCTACAATCCCAGGAGGCCGGCGGAGTGGGAGTTTTCAAGGGGGAAGCTTCAAGGGGGAAGTGGAGCAGGGGCTCTAAACAGCTGCTCCAGTTTCACAGTCGCAGCACAATCGGCTGTCAGAGACGCTGACTCTTCATGCTCATCAGATATGGCAGGCACGGGTTTTAGCTTTATACATATATATATAAAATATATATACAACATCTGAGCCATGTACAGGGTGAGGCAATGGGCTTGATTTCTTAATTGATTTCGTTCTTTAATTAATCTAATTTCGAGGCTGAGGTCTGAGAGCTATTGACCATTGGTTGGAGCATGGCGGATGGATAATTGCATTGAATGAGAAATGGGGAACATCAAAACCCAAAATATATTCAATATATTCCATAGATTTATAGAAGAAAGCATAGTTCTTTAATATATCTACTATTTATTTATTATTTATTTATTTTCTTAAACATACAATGTGCATTTAAGCACGTAACTTCCATAGCTGACTCATTCCTTCAAGGAAGTTTGATTCAATGCACATTTAAGTAAAAATCTCAATAGAATCATCGACATTTAATCAATTTAAACAACTGATTTCCCTTAAAAAAACACACATTATAAATAATGGTTGTAAACACCATAGCTTTAAGCTCATTACGCTGGACATTGAATGGGGGGGAGACCTTGAATTACTCTATTTAGTGCCCCAACAATTTGAAGTCAAATAAAACAGAACACAGATCGATGATGTCATTAAACAAAAGCTTGTCAACACAATTCATAGTTTGAATGGGTCAGAAAATACTCTATTTAATGGATCTGATTGGGTCACAAGCACTCAATATTTTGATGAATCAAGTGAAGATAGATCTCTCTATGGAACTTGCGACACCCTGTATCTCAAAGATGGAGGAGAGCCGGCTTGCACAAATTGTTTACATTGAAAATCGATCGGAGGTTTGGCCTTTTGGCTCTATGAAGCTGATTCGGCAGATTGTTTCTCAACGATTGGCCCCGCACAGGCGGGGCCATAAATTAATTAATTGACTTGGTCGATTTTCACTAAACTAACTCGTTGGGTGATAAGACATGGACTGATCAATGAACTGTGAACTATTAATAGCACGCCGATAAGTCGTTTCGATTAATCGATTGACTCACATAGTTGGCTATTTCGGATGCCAAATCGGTGCTCGAAGCCGGGTTCTCTGAATTTGGCCCTCGGATGGATGGAATCATGTCGCGACTACCGGCAACGAGATCCACCAGACGCGACAGAAACTGCAGCAACATGCCACAGGCAGCTCAGAATAGCGACTGGAAATGGAAAAGCCAAAGCAACCGATTTGCCTCCTATATACCAGCAGTAAATATTACTCAAGTATATGTATGCATGAGGCATTTTCAATTTTATTTCGGTTGGCAGGCGGCACTCAATGAAATTCAATAAAATCAAAACAATTAGCAAACGTAAACAAAAAAGCGAGGAACAAAAAAATGGGTTAGACAAGGGAGCTTGGCACCCACAACAAACATCGATGACGATGTCGCCAGAGTTTGTGGAGTCTTGCCTTTGCTTGCACGGAAAAAATTAAGATCAAAGACGGAGAGATTTCGCAATATTCCTTTTGTTATATTGGTTGTAAGCAGTAATATGGGTTTGGGATGTGGAAAGCCAGGTTCTTTAAAGGTTAAAGCTAGTGAAATATAATTATGCAACAGGTTTAACCTATACTGAGGTGTAGAGGAAGAATAAGAGTATAAATACTCCTAAATAAACTATATTGCAACATAAATGTCTTTTATAAATCACTATTTGAGTTCAATTCAATTTCTCATTCATTTCAATACAATTTCTCGTTCAATTTCAATTAAATTTCAATTCAACTTCTCTTTAAATGTAAATTTGCACATTTTTATTTACTGTGCAACCAAGTAAATAGGCAAATGTCATCGGTGGCTAAAGTTGCTTCTGCTTCTGCGGAGGCTTCTACCGATAAGCTCGCGTCCATCTACTGCGGATGTGGAGCTGTTTGCTATGCAATTGATAAGGCCACCGCATACGGGTTGACTGCACTCTGGATTTTCCAGGGAGTTCGGGATGATCGGCGGTGGAGGAAGCTACTTCTAGAGCGGCTGCCGCCTGACATAAAACGCAAATTTAACGTGACACTCTTACAAGTTGATCGCATGGGCCATAAAACACATGCAACACCTACAAACAGCAACAACTAGCTAGCTAGCTGTGAGCATGCGTGGCTTCCAGTGGTGGTCACTCCGACTCCTAGCTCCCAGCTCCCAACTCTCAGCTCCCTCTGTGGCTGCTGTCGTGTAATTTACACAAATGTCGCGCATTTATCTCACGGCCATAAACATTTTTTAAGCCACAATATCGAATTTATTTTGACACTTTACAAAGTTGTCGCCAAATGTAGTCGTTGTTCTTGTAGTTTGCTATCATAGACCATAGGCCACAACAACTACATATTGGCATTTTGTTTACCCTTCAATGGGGTAATTTGAATTTGTCCAAGTACTTGTAATATCATTTATTTTTTCAGTTATGGATCATTAATGCAGACTCAAAGTCACCATGTGTTCGTATATCTTGCACATAGCTTATCGATTTGAGTTTGCAGAGCCCCAAGTCGAACTTATGGTTTCCTATCAAAGTATTACTCCCTGGGTCATCATTTCCGTTTCTATATTTCCATAAAGATAATTAGAGTTATCTGAATCATGTGCTCTCTGTCAGCTCTTAATTCCTAATTGTGCAAGAACTTTGTCATTGAAGAATACTTTATGTAAGTCTTGAGTGCTGAGTAATTAGATTCTCACAAGTTCAAGGTTTTAGGGGTTACTTTATTTATTATTTCCCTAACAATAATCCTATGAAGAACATTTACAATTCGGTTTCCTTTGGAGTTTCACTTAATTTGTCTTGCTAACTAATGGAGTTGGTATTCTGCGGATTCTGTGGATTCTGCTTCTATTTCTGGTATTGGGTAATTTATTTGAAGTACCTCTTAAATGATATGCTCTTGCCATTTGGCTGTCTCATTTCTTGTTTGCTAATTTGCTCTCCATGTTCGCTTGTTGATGATGGCGTTGTTGTGTCTTTGCCAGCTTATCTCTGGCTTTTAAGTATTTCAGTTTCTTTTTTTTTTTGTACCCCAACATGTCTTGAGCTGTTTTGCATTTGAATTTATGGCAGCATGTTAGAAATTATAGCAGCGATAACTGACCAAGAGATCAGAGGAATTGCAATCGGAATGCGAGTGCGCCAAGTGAGACATTAAACACGAAAGCCGACCGATTAATGGATGAAGGAAAAACCAATTGGAACTTCCATTTTTCTAGCAAGCACTGGGAGATAATTTATTAGCTTTAAGAAATTAGATTTGAGGGGTAAAATAGGTGCTATATCTTAGGAACTTAGCTTGGGATGCTCTAGGGTTCTGTGGTTCGTGCTTAAAGTTCATTGAATGAAGAAAATTAACTTGAAACTCATATTAAATAGAAGTATTTTTCATATTCCTTGAAAGCGACTTGAATTTCTCTCACTGCACTAATTTTAGCCGCGACAAATGTGATTTATTTAGAGTTTTTATTGCCCTACCAAGCAACTCCATAATCCCTTTTGGTCCCACATACCCATATATTCGATACCCCACTGGGCCAGTAAGGGGTTTATGAGTGGAAAACTCAAGGCACGCATCGCTGACTGCCCGAATGTAATAAAGCAATTTCGTTTAACTATTTTACGGCAAAAGGCGATTACAATTTTACTTATTTTTCACTTTCCAAACCAGCCAAGCCAACCCAATCCCCCTTTCCATACAACAATCCCAATCCCATGGCCAAAGTTCCAAGCTGCGACACGCACAGAGTCATAAATTGTGACCACAAAAGGCTGGGAGACGTTAATGTGGTGACAATATTGCATGCAACCGCGTTGCAGTGCCTCAGAGATGCAGCTTAGCTAGCTCTTGGTGAAATAAAAAGCAGCTTTGGCACAGCAAGTGCAACAAGGGGGCGGGACATGGGACTGGGGCGTGGCAGCTTATCGGCGATCAGGCGACGGCAAAAGGCGACGGCGACACTGTCCCATACTACCGAGGAGCGGACGT